CCCTTGTAGTGGGGATACTTTTATTCTCCAGCCTTCCCCCTTAATACGATGGCCTAGAGACTCGAGCATTATGCTCAAGTATTGAAAGCTCGCTGTGTGGATACCATGAGTCTCCCGATGAGTATCCTCATGCCGACTAGTGCTTCAGCCCCACCGCTTATCTATCAGTGAGATCAAGTCTCCATGCAGGATGTATTCTCTTCTCAACCAGAACTAAGTACATACGACCATAGGGTGTGGAAAACAGGGCTTCCCGTCCGCTCAGCCGTACTTAAGCCACACGCCGGGAGGTTAGTAGTTGGGTGGGTGACCACCAGCGAATCCCTTCTGTTGTATGTAATTTTCTTTCAAAACCTTCTTTTTTGTCGGAATTGACACCTGTCTTCCTTCATCCTCTTCAGCCTGTTCACCTAAAGCTCAGCTGAACCGCCTGAACCTCAAAACTGCACTCCCAGTGACCCCACCCTCAACTCCTGCACTGCTGACTTGTCCTCTTTCAATAGCACTATACTTATGGCAAGAATATATGGACATAATAGTATAGACATCATCATAATTCATTTGCTTTCCAGGCTGTTGTCAACTAGCAGCACAACTAAGCACTATCAACTTGATTCAAGCTACTTCGTAGAAGCTTTTGGGTTAACGTTCTACCATGGAGCTAGAGAGCAGGCCCATTTACTGCATCAACTGTTCTGGCTGTGGTGCGATACATAATGGTGGCTTCGGCTGTTATGGCCTGATAAATGGGTTGCATAAACGTCTTTTGGTAGGTTTCATCATATCTTACGGGGTAGATTCGTAATTTTGTATGGTTCAAGCTTGTCTATCCTGATATCATGAAACTATATTAGCGGTGTGGTGTATTGCTTATCAACCCTTATGAGACTATAGGGGCGCAAAATGCAATTAGGAAAGACGAAGCTGCAGGAGAAGACAGCTACTTTGTCTTTACCTGCAAGTTCTTTCCTGCACGCTTTAGCCTCACCTTATTCCACCAAGTCAGCTCAATCTATCTCAATAACCTCACTTATCTCATTTTTCCTCCCCTTCTTGTTGTTTCAGGGCCGCAGCGTGCGCAGCGCGCATCTTCCAGTTGGGTTTTTGCTGATGTAATATTAGGACCTGTAAATTAACGTATTTCCAAAGCGAGCGGGCCACCTCTTCAAAAATTCTGCCCACAGGCCAAATACTAGAGCCTTTATCAACCAAGCAATTGCATTTCTATCTAAAAATTAATTACTAAGTGGTTTAGGACATCTAACTCTAGTATGTTCACGAATATGGCAATTAGAGCACTGTTTGGGGGGGGGGGGCTCGTACGCGTGGTCCAACTGCAGAAAGTGCAGGATCTATAGGAAGGGCATTTTGAGGTTCATCCACCTCATTCTCGCGTTGGGATTGCTCTAGGCCTTCCAGAATAGATAGCCCCTCTTCCATAGCTAGCTGTCTAGTAGAGCGCTTTCGTTTTTGCTCTTGCCATTCATTATTAGTATCATATTTACGTATTTCGTCTCGCGTAAGAACAAGCTCATTAAGCGTCAATTCATGACCTTTAATAATTTTGTCTAATTGCGCTTCTAGCAAAGGAAAAGGGTTTTCAGCGTATTCTTCAAGCAGACTTTTTACAGCAGATGTCTGCTTCTCTAACTGCCCAGTAATATAGTGTTTTCGGCGCTGAATTAATTAAATGACTGCTAGGTGGTATAGGGATCTTTAGTTGAATCTTTATTTAACTGAGTATTCTATTTGGATTGAATGGAACTATGCTCGCGCCTATAAAATTATTTCTAATAGTTTCTGGTTGAAAAGCGCTTTTGCGGGCAGCTAGAAATATCTTCAAAAAGTAAAATTATTAATGTTTTTGACTTCTAAATATCTTTTCTGTTCTACTAATGTTCCGTACACCTGTTTTAAAGGCGAAAAACAGCCAATATCCATAGGTTTAAGCTTTCGGGAAGAATAAGCAGACATGTAAATAGAAATTATGTCATTTTCATTACAGAGCTCATTAAATTAAAGTAGAAGATGGCTGCCATGGCTATCAAGAATTAGAAGATAATATTTTCCAGTTATACAACTAGAAGCGAGAGAAATAAAGATGTTTTTAAGCCAGCAAAGGCCTATTTTATTAATAGTCCATCTATTAGGACTAGCTTTAATCCTACTATCACGCGGGAGCTCTATATCTTTATACCAGTTCTCTATATAGATCTTTTCTTTGAAAATAATATATAGAGGAAGCATCCAGCCAGTGGAATTGATATATGTAATTAAAGTAATCTATTCTCAATTACCTGGCTGTATAACAAAGGCTTTACCATAGTAATCAGCTCTAGTAACTATTCAAGTAGTAGCTACTCAGTATATAGCAAAGCCAGTCTTGTCATAATTATGAGATCCTGAAAATCTATTTCCCTGCAGACTTAGATCAGGAAGCTTTCTCCTCTATTGAAACCTTCCTCTATTTTTCTAAAGCAGAAATAACAAGTAGAATTCGTTCCTATTTCTCAGCGAGACTGCTTGAATTTTGACGCGCTTTTGGAGGCATGGTGGATGGTTGAATTGAGTAGAGTAATAAAACGCGTCGATTTTTGAAGAGGTGGCCCGCTCGCTTTGGAAATACGTTACTGCATGTGGTTAGTTTGCTGTTTCTAGGTTGGCGCCCCAATACACGTCACATAACCTCTCCCCTCTTCCCTTGATACTTGTCAACGTCTTTTTCTTTATTTAGCACCGCCTTGTTGGCTCACTACACCATGCCTGTTATTCGATCGGTCACGCGTGCCAGTGAAATGAATGCTGAGAAGACCACACCGAAACGCGCTTCAAAGCAACAGAATGACTTGCAGGCTATCAACAACACTACCACGAAAACAAACGCCAAAGATCCATATCCAGCGGAAAGGCCTCCTCAGAGCCGCAGATTGCTAGAATGGATATCGCTCAAAGATTCACCCAATGGTGTCATCCCAAATAGCGACGAACTTTTTGCGACCCTTCAAGAGATACACAAACTCAACGAATGCATCGTTATCGCCCGAGGCCGTCCACGTGAACTAAGCGAGATTGAGTGGTTGATTATTGGTAAGCAGCATTAACCTTCCGATGTACGAAGAAGCTATAACGTATTCTAGATATCCAATAATTAACCAACTCCTAGAGTGGAGAAGCAGCAGAGACAGGGAAGAGTTTCTTACCTCGGAGCTTTGCCTCAGATTGAATGAAGCCCTTGCACATCGCTCATGGAGCCAAGAAATTGCCTGGCCGATCCGTGATACTGGGATGATCATACGCGCAAATCCGCTTTTCCCTTCTCAGAGACTTTATGAGATCCTGACAATCTATTTCCCTGTAGACTTAGATCAGGAAGCTATCTCCTCTATTGAAACCTTCCGAGGGCTACCATGCTGGCACCTTGATGATGAAGATCCAGCTGAGTATCCCTCGGCGGCGATCAAGTCCCAGAATTCTGCATGGATAGAGGGGACTTGTGAGTACCAGAGGCAAACTGCAAGGCGGTTGGCTTACTTCATCGAGTTTGCCGACGAGGAAGGAGAACGAATTTATAAAGAAAAGGTGAGGTATAATCCACGCGGAAGGCCATCTTGGGACGTCATGGGGAATTTCTTTGAGGAACTGAAAGATCTTGGGATGATCGGGTACCAATCGCGGCATGTTGAATTCGTGGAGGTTGTTCACTATGTACCGGAGAACTACGTACCAGAGCCTCCCCGTCCTATATCTCCTGAAGCGATGAAGCGTTTCGATTATTTGCCAGCCTACGACTCAGATGTATCATTATAGAAGGAAAGCAATGGCAGAGCAAGTTGAGGAGGGTCGCACCAATGGTCGTTCAAAAGTGCTACAGAACAACAGATGAACTTTTAAATAGACTCATTTTCAGTAAATTTACCAGCAGGGATTGCTTGGGCCCATCAAAGTCGCCCAGGAAAGGTATTGCAGAACACAAGGTAGTGCATGCCGAATCGCTGGGAGAGAAGCAGAGGGACATGAAGAAGATGCAAACAGATAATGAGGGCAGAGGTTACATTTCGACATGTGGAAAGATAGATTGAGAGCAGAATCGAACGGGCTTTGACATCTATCAACCTAACTTGGCTTCTATAACACCACATCTGGTACACCCCGGCATTTCTTGAACGAACTTCAATACCTACTTATGGCGCCTCCGCTAGCGCCTCCTCAAATCACCCTTTGTGCATTCACCACAGCAAACATTGCTTACTCTAGATCATCTTGCAAACCAGTCAATAGACAAGGGAGAAATGTCCGTCGGTTTGATCTTCGCATCAGTGGCTTATCAGTGCTGGTTTGATTGTTTGATCGCTTAGCGACAGTTGATGTGCTGGTGCTCTGAGCGCAGATCTGTCGTGACCAGTCACATTGATCAAGGTACATAGCAGTGGCAAACCAGGTATAGCTATCAGCATTCTTGACAGCTTTGGCTGTTGATTCCTCGGCAAGTTTAGCCACATTTGAAGGAAAGTAAGCCTTTTGCCCATTACTGCTGACCGTCTCATCGGTGATAACTTTAACCATTTCATGAGTATCAGTTATAGAGTTCCAAGTTTGCAACAAAAGCAGAAGGTTAACTCACCTCGTTTCGTGACCAAGTGTGCTAGCTCATGCATCAAAGTACCGGGCGTTGACAGAGCTGCCCCTAGTGGTGTTCCGTCGGATATGATCTTTTCCTTTGACCGCCAAGCGCTAAGTGAATCCTTTCTTCTAGCCCGAGTGAAGCTATATGGACACATGGTAATCGTGACGGAACAGCAACCAGTAAGTTGACCACCCCCAAGATCGTTCAAGAGGGCTTGAGTTTTCTGACTTTTCCCTTTCCAACAGATGGACTTACCGGAGCCTCTGTTGTTTTCCCCGGTGACGACGGCTCCAATGGAGGAAGTGAAGATATATATATCGGACCTGACCTGTGGTCAAATGCAACCCAGGAGATCTCTTGCGAGCCACCCTGCACTATGATCCTGCCCCCAATCCCACTAGCGACTCCGATAACGATTGACTGGCCAGCATACGAGACTACCATTGCATCAAGCTCTGGTGGGGCCACATTGACCAAGACCACTACAATCACCGTTGCTCCCTTCACTATCAGCGAGATACCATTATGGCCTATCACTGTGGCGGAATCTGGCGGAAATGCCTACTTGAGCCCCATGCAGAGCATTGCTCCACCAACCTTTGGTCTGACTTTGCCACAAACCGAAGCTACTTTCCCCCTTTTCCATACCGATTAAAGTGCCACTTTTACCACCACGACATCAACGGCAAATGCTACTGCACCAGCCGTTACAACACCTGCTGCTGTTCAGAGTGGAATTGTTTCCGATTGTACGGAGTTCTATCAAGCAATCGCCAACGACGGATGCGCTGCCATTGCAACTGCACACGACATCACACTTGCACAATTCATCGTAAGTTATGCGTAACTAGAAAAAATATAGAACCATCCATACTGAGCATTCTTATTAGGAATGGAAGCCGGCGGCAAAATCAGACTGCTCGGGACTTTGGGGTGATGAATATTACTGTGAGTCCTGACTGTTTCGATGATTGGCTTAATTCTAACCCATGTCAGGCGTCGCTGTCGCTAAAGCTACGAGCACCACCTCATACACACCCATTGCCGTGACCTTCTTTGACAATTCGCATATTATTACTGTGGCGCCACAGCCGACAGCGACATCAGTCCAACCCCCTGGAACAACTATTCCTGTACTCACATACTCCGACGGGGAAGTACCCTCAAATGGAGGATGTAGTTCTGGCGGCGACACTACTGGTTGTGGAAAGATCGATTGTGCCCTCTTTGGTTGTGGGGGTGCATGTGGATTCTTCGGTTGTGATGGAGGCTGTGGCTTAGGATTCTGCGGAGGAGGCTGTGGTCTTCTCGGTTATGGCCCTGGATGCGGAGCTGGTAAGTCAAACTGTGTTCAACAACCAAACACCTATATCATAGTTCGCCCATCGTGCACGACGCTGACATATTTTCTATTACGCTTCTAGGGAAATGTCTTCAGGAAGGAGGTGGTGGTGGCTCCGACGAAGAGGAGACATCAGCTTCCGAGGCATGCAGCGCAACTGCCACGCCTTCCGTCACAACTGTTTGTGACTATGCCTGTCCCGACGGAGCATCGACATCCTGCGCCACCCTCTGCGGTTCGTTGACAATTAGCTGTGAGCCTACCGGGTTCGTTAGTTTCTCACCTGGCACTGTGGACGCAGACGCGCTGCCACTCATATTACTCGAGGCCTCCGATGATGCCATGACATCCGATGCGGAATCCGTGGCATCCTGGTTGAACCCAAAATACACTAGCATGGATCCTGTCGTGACAAGTGGCACCACCATGACTGCATCAGCTACAGCGCCCGCTGTGACGACGTCTCCAAAAAATACCGCCACTGCTATCTCAGCATCCTCTTGTGATATCAAAAGCACCAGCTCCTCCTCCTACTGCTCATGTGATGGAGGATATGGTGTGTGATTGTCCACAAAGGCTAATCAAGCCAAAACCACCTTCCTGGTCTGTGATGTCACTCCAGCCCTGACAAATTCCACCATCACGCCGACGACGACCAGCACCACATCCCAGTCTACATCCACGGGCTTTGCGCTGTATATGACCTACTGGTCAGCCTCTGAGTGTCCCATTGGACTCACATGTGAGGATGACGGGAAATGGAATGCGGTTATGGTGGAAAGTCTCGTGGGCGATGAAACGGCCGTGCCCATACGAGGCACGTGGAACCAGGGTGGCATGGTTGATGGAAGTCAAGCAACATTCTGTGATCAGACTTCGACTTTCACAATCGATGGCGATGACATCAAGGGCTCAAGCAGTGTCAGCAAATATGGCTCATATGTTTGCAAGAAGGCACCTGTTCCTGAAGAAAATACCTGGTATGATTCGGAAAACACGGTAGCTTTTGATATCGAAGGGGCATGGGCGTGCCTGACAGACATTTGTACCTAAGTGAGCTTATACAAGATAGTGGTCAAAAAGGGGAATCAGACGATATGGTTACAGTGCCAGGATCGACAGCTGGCCCTAATCTGCCTAAGTAGATAAGTCTAATTTGTTCTAATTTGTAAGGTTAAAGAATTTCTCTTTCGACAATTCTTTAAACATAGATTTAGTAAGATTATTCTAGATACATGCTTTTCGCTGTCCCTCTTCTATCTAAGGAAGTTCAGGGTATCTAATTAAAAAGGTATTTTAGTTTTTCTAATTCGGATTCGATCGCACTATTGTAGTTTTAGCAGAGATCTTCTCCTGTTCGGATCTGATTTGGTCGGGGTTGTAGGTCTGGTGCAAGGGGTCGCTCGTGGCGGCTACCAAATCTAATGAGGTAGGCAGTTGCGTACGCCGTTCAGGGATAGTGTAGATAGTAAAGAATAAAGGGAAGCTTAGAACTATCTGCCACGTTATGACTTCTCCTCTGATGGCGCCTATGCCTTTGAGTCGCTGGCTCATATGACAGAAACATTCCGAGAGCTCTTTGGCCCTAGCAGCAGACTAGCCGTCGCAGACCTGTTAATAGACGCCTACTCTGCCAACCCAGAAGCGCTCTCAATTTCCAGGAGCTCTCCCAATGCTTTTTGGTGATGATCTCATCACTTTTACCCACAACATTGGAGGTATCTTCGGCCGATGTGCGGGATTCCTCGGGCAAAAGGCTGTGTCACTAGAGGGTGAAGTTGGTGAGAAGTTGCTTGAAATGGCACCTACTAAAGTAACACCTTCAGAAGCTGGAGTTCACATTCATGACTGCAGAACGTATATGACGGCTCTCCATATTCGAGGTAGATCGACGACAAGCTGCAAACTGCTCTATAGCTGTGGTTGATAGATATATAGACGCCATGGCATCATGTCAAATGATCAACGCAGGTTTTTGAATGATTTGTAAAAATAAGCTAGTCCTTTCGTACCTAGCATGTTCTTGTGGTTATATGCTTAGATATACCTAGCCACCTAGCCCCCCGTTTCACCCAAACGGTACCTACCTTTCGATATGTAGCTGGAATTTGGGTAGAGAGATTCCTATGTAAGTCCTATCTTCTAGTTTTCTAGCACATACGACCACAGGGTGTGGAAAACAGGGCTTCCCGTCCGCTCAGCCGTACTTAAGCCACACGCCGGGAGGTTAGTAGTTGGGTGGGTGACCACCAGCGAATCCCTTCTGTTGTATGTATTCTTCATTTCTTTTTATTTTTTGTTCTTTTGCGCCAATCGGGGTTCTGGTGGTACTGCCGCTCAGGTCTAGCTTTTGTGACCTTTCTTATATAGGCCCGCCGTAAATTTCGCAAGATCGTTGTCTGTTCCATGGTGAGGGCGGCGAAGGGTCCTTGATACTTTCCATCACTGGTACAGTGACACGAGTTCAACATTGCAATGGCTGCCTCGACATCCGGGTATTGGGCTGGAATAGGCATGCCAACGGGATTATGCCTGTGACGGTGCAGCAGTGATGTCGCATCAAGCGCAGAAAAATGACCTCTTCCATGCAACATAGTCTAGGTCTTTAGTTGTCTCAACTTCGTATAGATAGTAGATGTTATTCTCAGGCTATAAGAATATGAATGACAGTACCGCGGGTCATCAACTAATTCGTAACCTATTTTCTTGATTCTGACCCGTTTGCTTTCCTTCGTCTTTTCTGCCACCATTGCACTTGAATGACGAGCACGTTGGCCTGTCAGGAATTGACCCACTTAAAGAGCCTTTCTATTGCACAAAGCTTTATTAACATGACGTTTGGTTCGTCCCATGACATAGCCTAAGAGGCGTCAATTCTGCAGGCGCTTGTCTTCCCTTCCCATATTGTTCGCAGACCGCTATGCTAAGAACAGACTAGAACTCATGGTATGGACATAGTTTGCATGCCTGATCTCTGTCGGAGAATTGTATTATAGGTTGGAATCAAAGCAACGAATTTCAATATTGACCTCAGTAACCTTTTTTCCTTCGCCCCAAAGATTGCACTGTAACCTCGCTTCAGAGTCATGATGGTATTTGTGTTACCCGATTGAGTTTCTGTGGCGAGCGGGACCCACCACGAGATGCCCGAGCCGGTCTACCTTCTACATTCATAGACATTAAGGGAGCATATAACCGTGTCTTGGCACGCACCCACGGCGCAGTTATTGGACAATGTTCACATAGCAATTTGAGCAACTTGTCTTAGATCCCATACAATTGCAATACACGTGTATATCTAAATTTCATTTATTCATTCGTCATACCCCTGCATTAGCATTGATAGGGAAATTCGTTGAAACAAGGGCACGTTGAAACAAGGGCACAAAATCCTATACTGATATACTGTGTGACCGAGGATGAAGAAGAACAGCCTGCAGCACAGTGCGCTTCGGCAAAGGCTATAGATGTCAAATCCCACCATCAATAGACGCGTTCCAGTATGCCATCATCGTCTACTTCGAAAAAGTCGTCAAGTGTAACACCCTGAAATCTGGTGGTTTTGTTGTCATCTCTATATAGGTGTGCCCGAAGTTTGGGCTCGCTCGGACGTGCTGCTGTAACATATTCGCGTATCTCATCTGCATCTTCCGCCCTCTCGGCATACCCGGAATTATCGGCCGTGAACCACCCTGATAGTGTCAATCTATGAGTCTTCAGTCCATACTATACTGGGTAGATCCTACCGTCCGAATCTCCGAAGTAGTTGTTCAGATCGATTGTCTGATCTTCCGTCCAGGTGTCATCACTTTTAAGGCCCTTATAGTGAAGGAGGCTCTTTCCCTCAAGGCTGTCGTCCTTAATGCGGTGGCCCACTGAGTCAGACATTGTTCTCAAGTAATGCAAGTGTTGCTATCATGAATCTTGAAGAGTTGCATTGGGAATAGAGGGCTTAGAGGACAGGTCATCTTTATACCTGGGCATTTATCGCCATTGAAAGGGTCAGTATGATTCTTGTCCATGACTTCATGACTTATTTGAAAAGTATTGTTCACATCAATTGCCTGGTTTACCTAGACCATCCTGTCACTCACAGTGGCGTCTTGCTGTTTTCAGACGGACTCAGCACGCAATAGATTACCTTTCGAGGCAAGTATTGGTGACTTCTAATATCATGACGCGTATAAGAGGTGTTCCTGCCAATAAAAAGGCAGCAACTATTTTTTGCAAATTGTGTACACTATGATGGGCTACAACATAGTAGACCTTAATCAAGCGTAATGCCGCATCATAGATATTATTGTTTAATCAGGACCAGACGAAAGCAGAACCATAGTATTGTGTAGCTACCAGATATTCATTTGAACAGCGATTCACCGAATTAGTTTTGCCAAATGATGTCCCAATCAAGTCGTCACCTTTTGTCTCATACTGTACCATTGCAACGCTCCACCAAGTAAAGCACAGTGCTACCTATACTTGGCCGATGGGAATATTACCTTATATTAGAACGCCAGGCTTCGTAAGGGATCAGCTCCAAGTTTATATTTATCGATTTCAGCCAACGTTCTCAGGGTCCGCGGCGCCCGCCGGTATGCCGCGTCTGCTACAACCTGTAAGCAATAGAACCCCTCACACTGTTTTAAACTTCCACTTGTATAGTGTCCATGGATCAAGCATCCCTGAAAGATGGGCTGTTCGTCCTACGACAAGTACATTGTTCTTTATGGTTCGGATATAGTTCCTGCAACGTCCGAAGGGTCTAGAGCCACTAACATCTTCTTCAACCATGGTCACTGTAGCTGCAACCAGATGCGACGAACAATCACAGGCCCATCAAGCTGAATGCAGTGACTTACCTGAGAGACCGTTCAACTACCAAAGACTATTGCGTCCCGCTTAACGTACACTTGACCGCATGCAACAGTGGTATTACGAGGTTCTTGACAGAATGCTTGCTTGGATATAATTTGGAAATTAATGATGAAAGGTGTCTACTAGTGCGGAACCGTCGCGTGGCGAAATAATATCAGACATCAAATTTAGGCATGCATTCTATCGAGTCACGTGCTACATTGTCACACCAGATCGATTACTTCCATGGGACAGCTGCTCAATGACACTATCGGCCAACCAACCAGAAAAATTGTTAGATACAGGATCAAATCTTGGCTCTTCCAATACGCTAAGCCCTGCAGTGGACTGTGATTATATTGCTAATAAAACACAATTGTATGCCTCTGGTGATGTGTTGCGAATCATCATGACGTGCTACAATATGCCAACGAACGAAACATCAGCTAGTCCACAGCCGCTGAATATGGAAGACTGTAAATTGGAAGTTGATCAAATTGGGATACAAAAGGATGGCTTCCCAGTTGCCCAGAGAGCCTTCGTGGACTTCGCTCTATCTCCAAGCTCAAAATAACAAAACTAAATCTCCTCTTACCAACATATCACAAACCCTCAAAAAACCATGAATGCAATGGGGATTGGTTCACTTCTCACACTTGGTGCATTTGCTGGACTCTCCGTGACCACTCCAGCACATCAAGATTTTCCCCGCTCCCAGAGCGTTGGTGCCTCTTCCCTCCCCTATGATAAGACGGATATCCTAAGCTGCACCGTGGAAGGCACATTCGCCCTCGCCTTTGACGACGGACCGTACGCTTACACCGAGTATCTCCTAGACATCCTTGATAAATATGATGCAAAAGCCACTTTCTTCGTGAATGGCATAAACCGTGTTAATATCGACGATTACGCACCGCTTTTGCAACGAGAGATAGAATCAGGACACCAAATTGGGTCTCATACGTCAGTGAAGGTCTCCCACAGCTGTTAACATCAAGACTGATTTACTTATTAGTTGGGATCATAAACTACGCTTGGATGAAGCATCCGAAGCTGACATCCGAGGCGAGATGGAAAAGCTTGATGACAAACTGTGCGATCTCATTCAACGCAGCCCGACGTATATGAGACCACCGTATTTGGCATATGATGATAACGTTCTGGACATTCTCCAGGATTATCATGTCATCGTCACAGACCTGATCGTCGGTGACACTGAGGGAAATGCTACAGCCAAGGGAGCTTTTAAACGCTTCAGCAATGGAGTGGATGAAAAGCGTTCGATTCTCTTAGCTCATGATCCTGTGGAGATTACTGTGGAGAATTTGACCGAGATGATGTTGCAACTTCTCCAGGAATATGGTCTCAAAGGTATGGTGTTCTATATCTAATAACTGTCTTACATCAGCATCGTACAGTAGGTAGCTGATGATCAATAGCGGTTACGGTTGGGGAGTGCTTGGGTGATGACGACCCAGAAAGCTGGTATCGAACATGTGATGATTCCGGGGCATCATCTCGGTTGAAAAATCAGGCAGAGGCTGGCGAGGATTATATCAAGACGTTCCTTTGAGGGTAGGCAGTTTCAGAACTAAGGTACAATGACCTGTTTATCCTTCGTGAGACCAGTGTTCAAGTTTGTGCCATCATCGGACAACTCAGCGAAAATTCTTTCCGGATTTTTGAGGTCATGTCAGCCTATCTAGCACAGCACATAGGACGTACATTCCGAGAATGGAGTTTAGATTTACCCGAGTGTGCATGCAGGCTTAGCAACTTTAATGAAAGCGAGACCGTCTTTTGTTCTAGTGCTATCCCGGCCTATACAAAAGAATTACAGTATATATTTAATCAAGCACGAGGCAGTTTGACTGAACAGTGCGGCTATCCAAGTAGATGGGAGTCCTACGTTTTCATGGTGACTCTTCCATAAAATGGAGGTTCATGGAGGGACACGCATGCAAGACATAATTCGGGTGGTAAGTACGAGACCCTTCGACTCCGTGCCCTGGAGAATCTTCCGAACAACACAAGCAAGCATTGAAAATTGCTGAACTCCAGGTATAGACAGGAGATCACACTACACTCTGGTCTTAGAACTGGATGAAACCCACCTTGATCATTAGAATTTATGAAAGAAAAGTTTGGTCTTCTAATCAATATAATCATCTTTATTCATTGATATGGTACATACGACCACAGGGTGTGGAAAATAGGGCTTCCCGTTCGCTCAGCCGTACTCAAGCCACACGCCGGGAGGTTAGTAGTTGGGTGGGTGACCACCAGCGAATCCCTTCTGTTGTATGTATTTTACTTATTACTTTTACTTTTTATTGTTACTTTTGATTTTCTGTGGGCGAAGCCTATTTTGGTTATTTGATTAGACAGAATTGTGCCCGTTGTCATGATTATACATTTATCGGCAGTCATCTACGAGCAACTAACCCTCCATACAGCGACGTATATGAATATCCGGGCGGAAAGAAATAGACTTTACCCGTACCAACTCATCATTGTATGTACAAAAATGAGATTAACATCCACCCCTCCTCCCCCAAACAATTTTTATTACATACAGCCCAACTCAAACCAAACCGGCATCTCCAGCGGCCCAGGACTCTCCACATCCGCAGCCGTACACTCCTCCGTAACAGGCTGTCTAAACAACAAATCACTCTCATCGCCACAGCCTGTTCCAGAACTATTATACATTTCGAACGTAAGTGTCGTGTCACTGTCGTTGCAGGTATATGCGGCGTCAATATTGAACATCTGGAATGAGCCCGCGTAGTTGTAGTACCCGCCGTTGCAGTCGCCCAGGCTGGGGTAAACCAGTGAGAAGGAGATATCGGTGCAGTTGGTGTCTTTGTAGACGAAGAGGGCAGGGTATTTGTAGAAGTAGGCTGTTGTTGGTGGGATGGATAGGAGGAGGAGGGTAGTTATAGTAGAGAGGGAGAGCTGCTGTGTTTAGTGGTTGTTGTCAGGTTTAAGCGTTAGTGGGGTTGTGGAGGTGGGAGTCTACCTTGAAGGAGGGGAAGTTGATGGGCATGATGGGCGTGGTAGGTGGGGTGAAGTGCTGAGGTTGTGGAGGAAGAGTGAGGTGGGGTGAAATTCGAGTGGCATGTAGAGGGTGTGTTGATACTACTTATATACTTTTTGTAACCAGAAATATTGTGGTTGGGCTTGTGGTGGAAATACTATCTAGCAGAGCGGATTTAATGTGGTATCCACACCACTCTTCGTGTTTCTGCACGATTAAAGCCAGTAAGATTGAGTGGCTTGCAACTAGATATGCATGTTTGGGGAAAAGTGAAACAGGTGCAATCACGACGAGGTGAAATGCATTATGGTCAAGACGTCTTCCCGCTAATGATAGTTCCCCAATATTCCGATTGGTAATGCACGGGAAAGAAATTTTGTAGTTAGCAATGATATGGTGGCCGTACGCATGTCAGATTAGGCGTCCTGTCATGTATGGTTCGGTGCCCTGTATCTTACTTCTGTTAATTTTTTTATTCCCTTACTGGAACTGTTAGTGGTTCTGTATTCGTGTAGACTATTGGTATCCAGAGTTATGTAAACCGTGTGCCCAGCAACTGACTAGGAGAGTTGCGGACTATCATTCAGGGTAGTGTATATACATAGCATTGAGTCATATCAACATCCAACGATGGCATCTAACATCACTCATGGCTCGTAGTAGAAATAGAACAAATCAACAAACTATTAACAAAGATCTTTTTCTGTCGACACAGAGTCAACACCACCTCCCACGATTCATTTACAACCAAGCCACGATAGCGGCAAACATGGCAACAACCGAGCCAGCAGCAGGCATGGTCATGGCAGAGCCAGCGCTAACGGCAGCGGAAGACGATGCCGAGCTGGATGAGGAAGAGGTAGTAGTGTTGGTATCATAACCAACGACGCCGGTGGTGTTGACACCAGACACATAAGTAGTGCCGTTACGGCTGTAGGGAATGTTCACATCCAGGCCGTATGAAGCATCATACGGGAAGGGAGCGGTGTAGTTGTAGGTCGGGTTCTGGCCCTTGTAGGCGTCAATGACGGACTGCAGGATACCATTTCCGGCAGAGCAGGTGTCGTTGGTGGTAGGAATAGGCCAGTTAGCACGGTACTTGGAGTAGCCCCATTGCTCCAGGGGACCGGGCAGAGACTGGTTGATGTAGAGATGGGTAGGATCAACGTCCCAGTTGGTGTAGCCGACCTTGTCAGCGACGAAGCTGAAGATGTTGGCACCGCAGTCCCAACGACCCAGGGAAGGAAGACCCCAGTTTGCCTCGACGGTGGCCAGAGTGGAGTAGTGAGTGTAGACGGTCTCATCCTTGGTACCGATGAGGTGCTCGGGGATAGCACCACCGAGGAGAATACTGAAGACGCGGTTGCGGTCGTTGTAGATCTCCGACTCGGGAACACCGTAGGTCTCGGTCTCATCGAAGGTCAACAGCAGCAGAGTGTTGTCCCAGAAGTAGGTGTTGTTCATGAGAGGCTCAACGAAGCTGCGCAACCACTTGGATCCGAATGTGATGTTGGTATCGTGAGCGTCGTTGGTCATGTCTGACTAGGGTTAGTATGTACAACGTGTAGAGGAAATTAAGAGGAACGCACTAGGGGTGATAAAAGCCCACTGAGGGAGCACTTTGTTCTTCATGTCCTCTTCGAAGCTGGTAAAGTTCTTGATGAGGCGCAAAGCAGTGTCATTGCTAGAGATCTTGTCAAACATAACCAAGGGGTCGTGCTTGCGCATGTAGTCATTCGCGCCGGTTTTCTGGTTCGAGTAGTTGTACCCCTGGAACCCGGGGTAGGGCAAGTGCTCCTGGTAGTGTGCCCAGGAGATACCTTTGGGGTTGAGCAGATCCGCCAGTGTCGAGACATTGGAAGGAATGTCATGGAAGTTGTCTGCCGCGGATGATTAGCATTGGGTCGGCTTCCGGGATGCATTAGCATTACCGTTGTCCATCCCATAGTTGTCTCCGCTCACTGAGGCACAGTAATTGGGCTGCGAGGTGTGGCCAACACCGTAGTAGTTGACCAGGGTAATACCCTTGCTAGCCAGCCACTGCTGGTTGGTGTCATTGGCAGCATTGACGTAGTCCTTGACTAATTATGAGTATTGCGACATAGCATGGGACAACACATGGATACTTACGACATTCTCCAGCCAAATCTGGTAGAACCGGTCGAAGGACTTGCCAGTGACATTGGAAGTCCAGGTCTGGGGCAACGTGGTCGCCTGAGCCCTTTGAATAGCGGCAAGCGGAGGCTCTGTGGTGGTGATGGTGGCACCGGCGGCCAGCCCGGCCAGAGTGAGGAGCGCAGTCACAGAAGCCATTGGAAGAGGTGCTCAAAAACAGTGAGAAAAAGTTTCCTAGGCTTTCATTGCAAGTTTCAGGGCATATCGTCCTTTTATCCTGCAGTGCCTCGTGCACACTGGGCGGCATATCGGCCGATGCGACCGTGGTGGAATACTATCTAGTAAGGTCCCTACTTACTACTACCAGGGACGGACTAGCAGTACCTTAACCCCGCGGGCCAGTCAGAAATGGGGTTTACTTCACGTTCCTGCCGGCAGGAAGAGCGAGTGACAATCGAAGGATAACCAAGCGGGGGCTTCATCCATTGATCCACTCCGACTGGATCGCGGTGGAGTCTCTCTCCACCCACTTTCAAGGCTTCAATTTCGGGGTTTCCAGCAACACCCCTTCCACCCTACCCAATTGCAATGGCTGTCCGCTGCGCGTGCTTGCTGGACTTCGAACGACTTGCACAATCACACCATATGTTCAGCCCTGAATGAGACAGCCTTGTGGTATTCGCCCTCGACCAAGCTCACCAAGCTTCACGGATGGGTGGATGTGGCCCGGCTTATCCCACGTGCCCGCCACTCTCATCTGGCGGAGATAAACGCGCAAAGATGGAAGACTGATACCCTCATCCAGCCCGGTCGCAACCCGGCGGACTCCGGAGATGTTGTTAGTCAAGGAGACGAGTATCAAAGGACTCAATCCTTTCAGCCGCTGCTCTATTCCAAGTGGTTAGAAGAAATGCACATGTGACTATTTTCTGCACCAACATCTCGGCATCTCCTCCATATCCCGAAAAGGTAGCGAAGACTGCTTCGAATACCCTTCAGCAATTGAATGTACATGAGCATCCTACTAGTGTAGACACACAGTGGAACGCTGATTAGCTTCAGCTTACATACAATTGGACAAGCCTTTGTCCATGCGCTTTTTCAAGACATTCGAATCCTACCCTGGTCCACCATGTTCACAAAATCACCGGGTTTAAACGGAGCCCGAGCAAAAGCGGCTAGGGCAATTCAGCACTAGCATATCGCAGATCGAACTCAAGGCATGCTGTCGCGTGCGCACTCCCTATTGGGGATTGCCCCTCGTGCCATCTGTTCGTATGACAAATGGATATGGACAAGCAAATATCTCTCCAAGTTGGTTCTCAGAAAGCTCAGCCGTTGTGCTTCGAAGAAGACCGACGTTGCATCCAGGTAACCGTTCATTCTGCCCTTCAAGATAGTGATCTTATCGCAGTTGCAAATAGCTTATCACTATCTTTCACGGTATCTATGCCGAGACCATGGCATCTTTAGCTTCGTTGTTCCTGCTGGTTGTGCCTGCCACCCCCACTTTAGACTATGTCTGCCTGAGGCGGGAACTGTTAATGCCTCAGGCACTCACACAGCGCGCACTTTGCACAAGATATCCATGAAACTTGTCGACATTATTTCGAGTCAGGTGGCAAGTCTAGTAAGAAATACTGTGATTTAAATAGAGTAACTAGGATGTGTTAAGCTACTGGTACCGCTGGTATCAGTTGATCTTTAGCGATCCCTCCGGGTCCGCGTCGAGGCGCCTGCTTTAGAAGGCAAGGTCTCGTCGATATAAAGTAAGGTTTACTCTTTGTACTGACAGAGACCCTACTGCCTACTACTTAAGATATAGTCCCAGCCTGAGGCAGTACATAGGGTGTGATATTATCTATGACTGGCCGGTGTAGCGGTCATAGCTCCCCATGTATGTATCCTCGGCACATAATCACAATATCAACCCCGCTCTTCGAAACATCGCAAAACTCTCCAACCAGCCCTCAACCGGATCCTGATCACCCTCAAAGCCAGTGTCCCGAAGCCTTTCTACACTCAACTGCCGATCGAAAGTCAACCAATACCCGACACTATCCAGCTGGCGATACCCCACTCCGACCCCGCCAGTAACGGCTCTCGGACACCCATTTTTGGTAAAGATGTCCCGATATTTAGTTATATACTCCCCAGGTGCGAGATTTGAAGCCCGCTCAGGGACTTCCCCAACTTTCAACGTATTATGTTCCGTCTCAGGAGCAGGTTCAATAGGTGGCACACTCACGAGACCAAACCATTCCGCCAACCGAGGCCAGAGCGATCCGTATGTACACGGTGTCGCCCGGTCAGCGACATTGAATAACCGACCATCCCCGCACATCTCTGGATGTAACGACGCGAAAATCATGAAGCGCGCCAGTCGACTGCTAGATACGGGGCTGAATAATGACGTAGCACCAGCCGTGGATCCGGGGAAGGGGACCTCCACAGAAGCCTTGGTGGCTTCCTCTTTCCCTTGGTTATGTGGTCCAATGCCGTGATTATAGGCATATAGAGATAGATACTGTGCCCAGTGCAATGCCAAACTGAACTGTGATCCATTTGGGGTGAACCCGACCTGTTATTACGGTTAGTCGTTCCATTCGTAAGGGAAGATGAAGAACTGACAATTGCGTCCGGACAAACTTCGCACCAGGTCCATTTCCTTCCTTTACTGGATGTACGGAGGATCTCTCGATATGCTGGATAGACCACTGTCTTGGCATAGTCTGATGGAAGGCTGTTCACCAATTCTTCGCGCAGAGGTGGAGTGAACGTTCCGCCGGCGGAATAGATGCCGTATCCCTGGCCAATGTCTGGTCAGGAGTAATTTCTCTGCAAACTGCATGGATGATAAGTACTCACCCTGGTTCCACCGACAAAAGCAACGAACTGTAATTTCGGACTGATCAAGTTATGCGCATCAATGACATTTTGCAGCATACGTCGATTTGTCGCTACTTCTTCCAAGTCGTCGTCCATGGCGGCGAAGGCTACTCACTGTCAGAAAACTCCACATAACCACCATGATGAGATATAACTATACCCAAGTAATAGACATGAGTCACGCCCTCACTATTCTCAACAACCTCCCTCAACCACTTCACCAGTCTAACCCTATCCCAGCTGCGAAGATCAACACCCGAAGCCAGTTGCAGCTGGGGCCGATTAAGATCTGCCTCTGGCCAGTATGTCCCCGAAGCATCGAGGGGTCTGTTTGTTACAGCTGTGACCTTTTGAAATGTCCCAGCGGCAGGATATGGGCTTAGAAGCTGGTTTATTAGCGCCCAGCCGATTAAGCCTGATGCACCGTAGACGATTGCATGGTTGGGAGATTTTGGTGGCATCCTGGAAGGTTATAAAGTCCCTTTTTATTGATTGTGTATGTAGATCTTCGGATACAGGGGAGAGAAATCAAAGTCTTATATAGAAGGTTGCGTCGGGGACCCAAAATGATCGCGGATGGTCGGGATCCCAGATAGGTTTAGCCTGTCCGGGCCATAAGTGTATGGCACGTCGTTCAAGGGGAAGTGCAGATTTCGATTGCACATCTTGGAATTTAAGATATCAGCATTGTTTCGGCGGGCGATTATCTAGAATTTGAGACGGACCTATCGTATACATTGATTTATTGTGTTCGTTGCATGCTGTGGTCTCTGATTTGCCAAGTCGGCACATCTAGTTGTGGACGGAATCTATATCCCGGAAACTCATTGATAATTGCGCACAAACTATCCGGCAAGAGGAACTCAAACTAACAACACCTCAAGAAGTCCTCTCAGTGAAGAACGCAAAGCACTTCATCTCAATACTCTCCCGTGGAGGGCCATTGATATGTTCAGGGTCCACAAATGCAGAGTGAAGCAGTGTTACGCTAGATGCAGCATCACTGCCTAGCTGCTTAAAGATGAGCGGCTCATCCGGCTGCTGCTCGCTAAGATAATACCAGTCATGCTTCTCGTTGTAGACAGGCAAGCCAAACTCGACTACATGGTCGGAAATGATTCTGCGATCTGGGACGATGTCTGTGGCAGGGTCAACAGATCGCCAGTCACACACCGCAAGAGGATCTCTTTGAACTGTTTTGATGGGTCTCCAGACGTTGACAACGACAAAGGGATGGCTAAGAAGCCGCTCAATCTCATCTTCGGTAAGGACATCCTTTAGAACAGTCCGGCAAGATGCACGCGTCATGTCTGAATGAACACCATGCGAAGGAGAGTTCGGGGTGCTCATTTGGTTCCCGACTTCGTTACCCTCAAATCTGGTGCGAGTGAGATATACGACGACTTCGGATCCGCCGGTTCTGCAAATATGGTCAGAGATATTAAGTCCATTTTGTAGGCTTATCCTTTGGCGTGGGTGAAACACTTACAGTCGCTTGACCAGCTCTTCTGTAGCGGACTGAATTATTTGTTTTATCTGAGCGGCGTCATGCCAATCTGTAACCCCCACAATCTCATGTTTAACGTATTGAAAGCCTTGAACATCTAAGGTGAATTCGTGCTCTTTACCACGAATATCCTTGATTACAACGTCTCTCACATCGTTGATACCCTCGCGTTTAGCGAAACGCCGCTGAGCCTCGGGTATATCGGCGTCGATAGGTTTTAATCCTTCACGGCCAGGCGGGAATATATAGTTTAGTGTTGTAGGGACATCACGTCCCTTCCCAACCGAGGATTGGCCATTGGAAATGGATACAATCATATTGGTGAAGATCAAAGCAACAAAGGCAAAAAGAGGGAGAATTATTTTGATGAAAAAATCTTGGAAGTGCAGACAGATAGATGTCGGATGGAGGATACTTATGCAGTTCTCTTATGCAGCAGCGGATAAAGTCAAATGAAAGGGGGCTCGGGTTCGTATTCGGGCACTTTACCAATTCGGGGTACATGTCTTATTCGTATTCGGCTTCGGATTAAGGATCGACAATTGGCACCAGAGATGCGCTTTTGAAGAAATCCAGTTGCAAATATGCAGGGTCCACACTCTTTTTCCCCGAAGCGGTTGGCTATTCATATTCAAAAGACCATGCCAGCCTATTCAGGGTTCTCGGCAGAAATGAGATCTTCTTAGGAGATCCTGACTTGAGCCCACATCCAGCCCAAACACATAAAGATATTGAAACCCCATGATTCCATTCGAACTATCCTTCACTGAATACCCCTTCCCAAAACTCAAACAGAACCAAAATTATGATCACGAAAATATTGCCATTATCGGATGCGGAGGCATGGGCTTAGCCATCGCTCGGCGCCTCGGTGCTGGCCGTCGACTATGTATCGCCGATTTCTCCAATGAAGTCCTCTCCGCCGCACAGGAAACCTTGACAGACGACGGTTACATGGTAGAAACGTTCCAGGTGGATGTTTCTGACTATGCATCCGTCAGCGGCTTTGCGCAGGCGGCTGCATCGCAAGGACCTATCGAAGCAGTTATCCACACAGCCGGCTTGTCACCATCCGCAGGCAGTGCGCAAAAAATCCTTGAAGTCGACCTCCTTGGCACCGCCAACGCTATTGAGGCATTCTTGGAAGTGGCGCAGTCTGGAACGAGCATGGTCTGCATAGCCAGTATGGCCGGTCACATGGGATCAGGCTTGCCATCGGAGCTCGAGCGTCACCTTGCTACAGCCTCCTGGGAACAATTGCTGGACCATCCCGCTTTGAACATTGATCCCAGCGACCACCATGGGCCTGCACGGGCGTATGGTCTTTCGAAACGCGGAAATATACTTCGTGTCCAAGCTGCCGCGAAAATTTGGGGGCGTGTTGGGGGAAGAGTAAATTCTGTTAGCCCCGGAGTAATTTCTACAAAGGCCGGCAGACAGGAGATCAATGGTCCAGCTGGGAAATTTATTTCCATGAGCCCTGTAGGTCGCGTGGGCACACCGCAGGATGTTGTGAATGCTGTGGCATTCTTGGCTAGTTCGGAGTCGTCTTTTATTACGGGCAATGATATGCTAGTGGACGGTGGGGTCGTGTCATCATTGAAGTGGGATAAATTATAAGCCTGAGTATCAGGTGCTATCATTGGAGAGGCTTTCCTGTCGGTACCTGTCTTTTTCAGTAGGTATGGTTATTATTTAGCCTTATATCACCCTGTCTCATGCGCACCGAACCACCCTGTCCGAACACTGGGTGCCTAGTAAGCAAGGAGTTAAAGGTGGATACTGGCCACACATGAAAGACAGTGATATTATGGCCGAAGGTTATTCTAAATCTTGCCCCATTGGAAAATCTACATATGAACGGAACGTAGACGTTCTTGGATGGTGATTTGACGAATATAGCTTATATTCAGATATTGGTCTGGGCCCAGTTATGTGTCAAAAGAGTGTATCCATACAACGATGCATCGTGCTCGTAAGATCCTCCAAAGCAATAAAAAGCAGGAAAAAGTTCCGACCACGTTCAATGTAGGTCTCATGTTACTTGATGGTCATACCCAATCGGATACATTTGTACGCATCTAGTCATCGTCTTGACTAGACCTGGACGGTCAGGCAGTTGAGAAGACCCTAGAGGTAATGCATGAGTACGTGTTATCAATAAACCGTCTTGCAATTCTACTCACAATTCCATTAGTGGTGCAGCAGGCAGCCTGGTTGTTGCAACTTCCAACAAGCGCTGATAAAATCTTAGCAAGACGGACAGTGAATAAAGTAGTGTGATAACTTACGAACGCAAAGTCCGGGAAGCACGTTCACATTCAAGATGCCGTTAGTCAAGCTAGTGCAGCATGAGTTGGCTTGGGATGTAGTGCACTGTGAGGCATCGCTAGTGGCTGGTACAGCGCTGGCAAGACCGATGGTCGCAAGGACGACAAGAATCTGTGAGAAGTTCATTGTGGCTGATTGGATGCTTTGTCCGATAATAATGTGAGATTGTATAGGATGCAGGCAATTGCTTGGGATGATAGAATGAATACAGTATGGAGTTCGCGGTCTTTGATGGTTTATATATCCCTTTCAACCTTGAATATTGTCCGAATGTAGATATGTCACTTGGCCTGGTATATCAGGTGTTCGTCCTAGTCTTGTCGATGTATTTGCATATTTGAGACATCGTATCGATGTAGTAGTATCATAGACCATCTAGACTGTCAGGGCAGGCGCCATGTGGAGGACAATGCGCAACAAATTAGCTCGGTGCAGCGCACAAGTGAGTCGGGTCTCGCAATGTGTCTTCTCAACTGACCCTTCTTCAACCCCACTGCCGGCGGATTTTGAGATTAGGAGTAGGGTCTAGATTGCTCTGAAGTGTCGTCATGCAGAATGACCCCCAAATTGCTATTTCCAAATCCTACTCTGTGCTACCATCCGAATCTTAATTAATGCAGCCGAAAATCGACTAGCTCATTCCCCCTTATGTTGCGGGGGGACCTAAAGGACAAAGATCTACAACAAGCGTGAATTAAAATGACTAGAATAATATAGGAAATCTTCAGCAATGATGAATAACGTAGTAAGGATTTACATTTCATAATGTGGCTGGATTCATATATGGCAAGTCTTCATCATTCAGTTCTGCTCCATAAAACCTTTCCTACCGGCCCATAGACAGTTCGCTAATCTTACCAAATACACAACCCCACTATACTCTCCGTGTGAGTCATGTCGAAAAGACTTTGGGGAAAAGCATTATGCGAGAACAAGATAAACAAACTTCGCTGCAGTTCAACCCCACTGTTGAAGAGCGGGGTGCGTCGTACCCCTTGCAGAAGGCCATAGAGGGTTACAACGGGCGATAGGATACGCCCGCTCATGGCGCGGATACTTAATGCCTTATCTCTGAGGCTTGTGATGTTAGCTCGTTTATAGATGTGATTGTTGTTAACCAACGCGCAGGCCGTTGGTTCTGTTCATGTGTGCAGCGCATACAATATAATCCTATACGGATAGGGGATTGCTTACGTTACCACTCTGCGTAAGCATGTCCTTCCTCCTACCTTCTGGTATAATGTCTGACTGACTTTCTCCTTGGGTGGTTCTGATCATTTCCACGTTGGAGTGTCACCTATGAGTCTATGAAGAGTTACTCATAGCCCCTCGCATCTCAACCCTCAAATTTTATTTCTTCAGCATCGTATGACTTCCTTAATCTGGTGGCGTCGGGTACTTTTTCCTTAATAGCATTCCACATTCGCATTCTACCCTTCTTTCAAGCAACAGACAGATGTAACTATCAGCATCATGCAAGGGATACTCGTGCTTTGGATAGCGGGTGAGAATGTGCCATAAAATCATGTTGTACCGCTTACGTACTACGGCCCTGACATTCTTTTGACACAACTGACTCCTAAATCGCTGCGTTAGGAGGAAATGGACCTGGCCCAAGAGGCGTTCCCAAATATATGACCGAACCGATCCGCAGCATTCGAATTATTTCTGAAGTGAGAATATCCCAACCATATTGCCACCACGCTTACTAAAAGCGGCCTTTGGTATTTCATATAGATACTGACGTGCAGAAGCCCATGATACATCCTCTAGGAGAAGCGCTGGGTGTCTTGCAGGAGGACCCTTGGAAACAAATAATCTAAAATATAAGCAGTATAAAGGGAATCCCCAGATGTGAGATAAGCATCGGCGAGGGATATCTCATAATGCACTAGTATAAATTCAGGAAGAACAATTGTGGCTGTGGCAAAGCTAGGACGGGCTGAGAGGCTGTCTCATCTTCTGCCGATCAGGATGAGTTGGCACGGAGAACGGAAGCTCGGACACGGATACGGAGTAGGACCAGCTAAAAGGCCGATCGTGCTGCGGCGCCTGGTGGAGAACATGCATGGTGAGGATGCGCTGGATCGTGGGGGCCAGAACCTTTTTTTCATTGCTCGGTTTCGGTTTCGTTTCCCTTTCTAGCATTCTCTTCGCGTTTCTGTTCCTTTTCTTTCCCTTCTTTCTTCGTTTTTGGGGGGTAGTGTATTCTTTTTAGCTTTCTTTCTTTTTTTTTTTTACATATTAAAAACGCGAAGAAGAAGGTATCGGTGATCTTATATGGTTTTAATATCCTGAGGAGTAAGAGGAACGGAGAAGGGATTTAGAGAGAAGGATTCTGGATGATTGCAGAAGAGAAGGGCCTAGGGGAGACGCCTTGCATTGAATTGATCAGCCGGAGAGGGGTAGGATGTAAGCACTAGTGTGGAGGAGTTGTAGAGGCTGGTCAATGAGGGATTCGGTATAATACCTCTTATTTAGGAAGGCTTGAGTGAATATGGGGCTTATATGCAAATTGATTGGTGGTGCTGTGACCTCGCTTGTCCCTAGAGAGAGCATTGCATCCGGTGGCTTGGGGATTATTGGAGATCTTGTTCTATTGACTTGTTTTATGGGATGGTTGGGAAGGCCTTTAATATCATGATTCTTCCGTTCAAGCATAGGCGTACACGGTATTAATCCCTTCCTAGCGTGATCAAATTTTACTGCCCAGGCAGCAGTTGGATGATCAGCCTAGACAGGCTCTTTCAAAGCTCTGTCGAAGTTTGCTGCATGCGTTGCAATCCATGGAGGGATTTCGGGTTCATCGCTTTGTATCGCTTGAATGAAGGCACTGAGTACCTGTCTCGGTTGGTCTTGGGAAGGACGAGGGACATGGTGACATCCAGATGGTTGCATGGATAACTGGGCCGCGCATGACTGTGTCAAATAACCAAAGTGACACGCGGCTTTGTTGTCGATCAGGCCACCCATAGTGGATCTCCGAAGGTGCGATAGATATGCTTCTAATGATGGGAGAGCTTGAATTCATCCCGGCTGAGCATCCTTACTGGAACACGAGGTAGCGTTTGCCTTTTTCCACTTGTCCGTGTCCACCCACTACCAGCCGACCGACATTCTCAGTCTCCACTGCATCGATATCCTCCCCTATAATTCCGTCTGTACGGTCCAGAATCGCAGTGTCTTCCGTTCTAGAGCCACTCATGTTAGTCGCGGAATCCCACTAATCAGAAAGTAACTTACTCCGCGTTTCCTAGCAGCGGCATCTGAGCTCTCACATCCTTTCGCTCCGCCAGTTGCACCCCGATTCTCAGCATCGCAAATGCATCAAATGACTCCGTCCAGGTCGGATGCAAGCCCGCGTAGAAGGCCATGATTACCAATCCGACAAGATGCAGGCCAATGATGGTCGACAGAAATGCGATTGCCCACGGTCGTATCGCGAAGATCTCGACAGAGGTTCCGTCATCCTTGAAGAGGATTCGGCGGTAGGCCTGCTCAGTTGAAGCGCGGCCCAGGTTGGCCTTGTTGGCAAAGAAGGCGCCCTGGGTAAAGACAGACGTTGTCTGGGGATTGTCGTAGTTTGCAAAGAGCTGACCAAGCCAGGCAGCCAGGTCGTTGAAGTAAGTGGAGTTGGTGTCTGATGCACAGGGCTTGAGAGTCGCGTATCGCCAGGAGGTAGTATCCTCAGTGTTAGTGTTCGACAGGTAAGTGAACGGAATAGGCTCGGAGCACTCGTCCAACGACAAGGAAGTGATGTTCGGTAGAGTCGGTGTCGAGTTAGCACGATTGGCGAAGAACGTGGACGGGCCGAAGAGGGCCTTGGTGGCTGTGAGCAACGGCCCAAGAGCTGGTGAGCTGACAGGCGTGGGGTCGGGATAACCATATCTAAAACATGTGAGAAGATTATCACAACGAAACTGGGAAGCGTTACTACCACACCAGTCAGGCTTTCTCCACACTAGGCCTCGCTTAGGCCACACCTTGCCACTTGAAGAGAACAACCTTGTCTCTTAAAGTATGTGCCACGGTATGGCATAAACAAGCCTGGTATGGAGGCAGCCTGGCTTGTGTCGCGGTAGCGCCTCTCATAGAAAAATGAAAGTGAGTTCTTACCCTAGAACATGTGAGTTATCTAAGGCTCGCACATCCATACTCTCCTCCTGGTCAACGATGATATTCTCTGGATCAAAGCTAGTTGCAAGATCAAACGTCTCCAGCAAGGGACCCGTCTGGTAGTTGTTCATATAGTTAGGGAGCATGAAATACCCCGCGGTTGTATTCGCACGAATGCGCTGTGTCCAACTGGCTATCCGGGATCCGTTGGTGAGGAAGCTCATGGCGACTGAATTGAAGTGAATGTATACTTCCTCGGAGATGTCCTGGCGGTTCCGGGTGAGGTTCCAAGGAAAGTTCTGCGAATCTCCCAGTGCGCACACCTTTACCTCCATCATGCCATCTGCAGAGCTTGGGACATTGTAGGAAGCATCCAGACTTGACAGGTTCGTAAGCGTCGACGCGGAGAAAGACCCTGGTCCACCGCAGCTGTCGGGATAGCTCTCGTCCGATACCTCTTCCGAGGCAACGGACGTATTGAACCGAAACGCATGATCGCTTATTATTCCCGTTGTAGCCGAGTTGACAGGGATAGAGACAAATGAACTGTTACCGCGGAGGGGATAGAACTGCGTAGCAATTCCTCCTTGGTTCGAGTTACTCACGCAAGAATAAGCCCAGCTCATAGATGAATTGCAGACTGAATCGGGTGTCCGCCAGATATTTGGCTGAGAGTCGTACTGAGTAGCGTAGTTGATTAATGACCTAGTATCCCCAACCGTCTCGATGGACTTCACTTGAGACAATCCGGTGATGTCGGCGTCAGAAACCAGCGGAGTGACCTTGGAGGGTAGACTCTCGACCAAAATGGTCACCTCTGACACGAGCAGCTGCTGCAACGGCCAATTTAGACCACCTATATGAGTTGGTCAGCAGCCTCTACACATCACCATCACCTCCCTTCCTTACCTAGAGCGCAGACGAGGAATGCATAATACAGGAGCGGACTGCCCAATCGCCGCCGACCCCCAGCAGAGAACAGTCGGGCAAGGATGAAGGGATTCCACCATCCTCGATCAGCTACCGCTAGCAATTTCCGGAGGCTGAATGCCCGTTTATGTCCAGCGGCCTGGCCGTACACTATGGCGGCACGGGCGGCAATGAATGAAGAGAACGGGATGGTCAGCACTGCCATGACTGAGTTAACGACCCGGGCGGCCAATCTCCAGCGGCGTGTAGCAGCGATGACGGCTGCGGTGAGAGTTACTTTTGTCGCTTCTCTCTGGCTGCAGGAGAATGTCGCAGTCGCGTCAGAGTCGGTGACACCCAGGACCGTCTGGGACGCGCAGGTTAGCTGTCGCGCGCTTTCCCATGTTGGCGTTGAATGGTGATAGAGGAGAGGCCGGTGGGTAAGGATGCACGTCACGGTCCATGAGAAGATGAGGAGGGAACAGTAAATTAAGACAATGGGGATTAGATGCTTCAAGCTGCGGGATAAGGAACGAGACGTTCTGTGCGAATAATCGGCTGACTTGTCGTCATCGTTTAGTGTATGAAACGGAATATATTCCCCTCGTAGAGCAGTGTCACCAGACCCCATTTTGTAAAGTGACTGGCAGAGTCAACTACATCATCAGGAGAAAAAAGTGAGATGGGGGATGAGCATGCAGGGTCTGTCTATTCTTATTTACTAGGGCCACCATGCTCACTGCCAGATCGAGTCTGGTGCATTGGAGCATAAACTTTGGCCAGGATGCGCGGTTGAGCCTCGCTCAGCCGGGTGGGTCACTCAGGGTCGGCTTGGCGAGGCTGTGGCTTAGCATATCTTAGCTTGACACCCTCGGAATTGCCGACGGATGTGACAAGTAGCGAGAACAGGCTGGAAGTGGAAAGGCCATTTGGTGCTATCTCCCCTTCCTATCTATCTCTGGTAAACACTATAATAACCTTCCACCATCAGTAGATACACTTATGACGCATGCCTTTTTCCTAACTTTCTCACCTATCGCAGTCCGTTGAGTAGCGAATATATCTCAGTACTAGCCTACCCTCAGAATATCAACAGAATATACAATAGAGTTGTTTGTTGAGAATGTACTCTTCGGGTAGGGGACCCCAAGGAAACAGCTTAATTTGTGCATTTGTGTCTCCAAGTGATATATCCGGATATTGAATTCTCGCGCGGTTTCGAAATTGCGAGCCCTAGGCTATAGACCACGTGCAGGGACCATGAATTGTGTTTCCGCCTACGTAGATCCAGGAACTGCTACCTCGCGAACTATTAGTCCACATCGGTAACCTCCTGACAACCGCTGACATTATCTGCCTCTGCCTATGCAGCCGAACACTTGATCTTTTCACAACAAGTTTTTACGACTTCAAGCCACGCCAAGACAAGCCCTTAACACTTTCAGTCTTCACAAGACTGACCCGAGACCTCCCAAAAATGTTCTGCTGCCACTACTGCGCCAAGTTGCATCGTATCACTGACGTCCTCCATCCCGCACGCTCCATGGGTTTCCGTCATCGGTGCCCGGACCTGGGAGTTTGGCACAGAAAATGTTCACAACCGTCGATTAGATGGCTACTATCTGTCCACTGTATGACCACCCTTTATGACTTCCGTCACTGCCACCTGGTGGCTGTCCTACAAAATTACCATTCCGGCGGCCGATACGGGATCAACGCGGAGTCCTTGGCTTTCACCGAGGTGGTTGATTACCCTCAACAACCAGCAAGCACGACTTTATTATCAGTGGAAGGACGCGTCTGTACACCCGCTGGAGCTCGTCAAAGACCATCGCTAGTCCTGCAAATACAACAGTGGGTTCTCATCCATGATCTACAGGTCTTCTCCGACAGGGGTCTTGACGTTGCTCTTTCAGTACTCCACAACTGGTTTATTTGCAACTGGTTGAGAGTGGGCCACGGGAGTATTCAGGATAAGATTCGACCTGCAAATCGGCAAAGAAACCTTTGCTGGAAGGAGGCACCACTCACAGAGATTATGCGATGCTCGCATTGTGGTGTGGAGTTTCAGATCGTCCTCCGAGCCTGTGGGGAGGATGGGACAGCAGTGACAATTACTAAATGGTTAGACCTCGGAGCCGGGACAGATATTGAAGATCCAAAATGGAAAAAGGCTACTTTTACTAACACGATAGAATCTATATACGATCGTGTCGAAGCTACGGCGAGCACAGGGGAGGTCCGTCGACTATTCCGTGAAAGCTCTGATCAAGAGAGTGACCCTACGCCGCGAAACAGGTCATACTTGATAGGAAGACGATACCGTTGGACAATGTGGTGCTACTCGCAATCTATGTACTATCTATTCCATCGCTAGCTCTAAATCTATTTTAGCCAAGTACCCAGGCTAAATCGCTTTGTCATGTTAGAAGACTCATTGCTCCATTTCTAATCTCTTCTCTGGTCCCATGAAAGATCCCCAAGTTGGGAAAGAACTTCGTTCCTGCTCAGAATGGAAACTACTCACAGCGAAGGCCAACGACCATCTTCCTGAAGCCTCCCAGGTTCTTCTTAGCTTTCCTCTTCTTTCTTCAGGGAACTCAATTGTTAACGTTCTAAGCTAGTACTTCTGTACGTGTCCAAGCTTTCAACATCATGGGTTCTGCAGATATCATCTCTATATTGGGAACGCTGGGTACTTGGGTTGGGGCGTTTCGTCCTGACCTAGAAATCCTAGTGCGTTACATTGTTCGGCAATTCATCCCCACTTCACACTCGTCCCAAGAGCGCATCGTCACGGCCGTCGAGTCTATTGACAACGATCAACGCTCCGAGCTGGATCTTTGCCGGGAGTTGTTGCTCCTGCAACAGCAGGAGATCAGTGGCTTGAACGCACACCTTGACAATGTGTGTCGGTTGTTGGAGGCGATGCGTACCGACCTCAGCGAGCTGAAGGCCAGACAGTTTACCACCAGGACGTAAGGGCCTGATAGCTGTTCCATACCTATGAAGACAATGAAAGACGAAACGTGAACAGAAAAAGTCAATCCCCGGGAGGGGTTGCGATCGGGACATGGACTTGAAGCTCCCTCGTGGATATTCACCTTCAAATTCAATCCAACGATCGTACATCTATATAGAATCTCAGATGTATCTAGAAGGCCTCATGATCTACCAAGTTTGTATATAAACACACCGTCTAGATGAAAATCAATTCTAAGATTGTGTGTGGAAACCTGGCGTCCTTTGAGTGACTGAGGATTATAAGGCCCGAGCGAAAACACCCGTAAAAAGTTGTGACGACTATGGTGTGAAACGTGGAGGGTTGACAGGAGGCCGTGAGCATAGCCTTCAAGGAATCCTGCTGCTTGTGCTCATCCCAATAAGCTCTACCTTAGCCCTGTTATCTCCATCACCATCCGCGGCATCCTGGATCATCCAATCCCCATTGTGCCTCCACAAGCACCCCATGCACCTGCGATGCGTGTTCGGTGCGGCGAAGTCAGCGCCGTGTTTCCGGTGTAGTATCTAGGATTGAGGATATCCGTGAAGTTGTCTTGTGAGGTGGAGAGGCTGAATAGGGTAGGTAGGAGGAATGAGACGATATCCGCTAACCAGGATATCAGTATGCAATGAGTGATGTGGATATACCACGTACCTAAGTTCCCATCTGCAGCAGTAAAATGCAGTAGACTTGAGCTACTTTCACCCTCCTTAGGCGGTCTGATTCGGATTGGAGCAGTGTGTTGCTAGGGGGGTGGAAAGTTGGTTTGTGCGGATGAGGAGTCACTAAGCCGGTCGGTATAGAATGGGTTGTTGACCGTATCGAGGTGGTGTGGGTTGACTAAGGGTGTCAGCTCTGCTATTACCAGATAAGGTTACAGTGGTCGCCACATATATCTATTAGAGGTATCTATCCTTAAAATAGTAGATAAAACGGCATGCAATCGTGCCGATTAGGCGAGTGTTCTTTGTCGACTTCTTCGACACCGAGCACGTATTCCTCGCTTTGTAGAGCAATTACTAACAGTAGACTAATGTACTATATTGTCTCTTAATTAATACTTACTCGCGTCCCATCATTTCACATCCTCATCTGGAGTATTATACACTGTCATATAGATATAGTAGAGCTCGATGAGGTTCAGCATGAGTAATGTTGTGTATACATGGCCTACATTTGTAAAGTCGTAAGACGAAACTGAAGGCTGTTCGTTCTCCTCCAGTGTTCGTTCTTTCCTTTTCTCTGTTCATTACCTTTTCTCAAACATTTGATCCAGAATTCAAGGTCTCTTCTGCAGTTACATGTTGCAGACGATCGATATGGATGACAAAGTGACTTCTGGTTGGAGGAACCCTGGTGCTCGGGCCCCCTCCATCCACCGATGTAGCCGGATCGAGCCGTGCGCTATACCACACGAGCCAGGACGGAGAGCTTATTATTGCCGGGAGCTAGCGCTATGTACTTGATCTGACAATGCTAAACTATCATTGTCAAGATCGGCCGACTAACGCGGGCTATGCTGATTGAGACTTCCTAGGCCACTGGGTAGAAGACATTACAAACTATTGTGCATTGAGTTGGCGATATGTCTGCATCTCATTTGTTGGTTGTTAAAAGCAATAGACGCAGTAGTACCCGATAAAGATAGTACTGATAGAACGAAAACATGCAGATTAACGGAAGGCAGAGCTCAGCTGCAAGCCCCGCCTCTTCCCCCCTCAATGCCCGACGTGGACAACATCGGCTCATCTTATGCGAATAAAAGCCTCCCTCATGCCACCTTAGTAAAAAAAAAAAAAAAAAATAGAATCCCATAACTCTGCAATTTCCACGGTCAAGCTCATTTTATTCCAATCGAGAAAATGACATTCGAGATATACATCCCCTCCTCCCTGACCTTCCAGGACTACATCGCCGTCTGCCAATGTGCGCGCACATTCGCCGATGGGTATGATCGGAAGGTATACACTACCCTCTACTATATATCCTCAGCCCAATATTACGCAACATTATCTGTACAGTATCAACGGCTTATATCCACTAATTCTAGGACAAAACCCGCCTCCGCGCCGCCCTCGCCCCCTCCGTGATAGTCGACTACAACAAAGTCCTCCCCCACGTCACCCGCGAGACCTACGAAGCCGACCACTTCGTCGAGACTTGGCTAAACCCAACGAATCTTGGGAACAAAGCTCTAGCAACGCAGCATCTCCTCGGAGCACCATACTTCAAGTTCGCATCGGAGGAAAAGATCGTTGTACAATGGCAGCAGCTTGCGAGCCATGGGCGGTGGGTTGACGGTCAGGAAGAGACATATCCGGTGAAGCGCAAGATTGACGAGACGTCGGATGGGAGAAGCTGGATGCAGCAGACTTATGTCAAGGTGGATGGGCAGTGGCGAATTCAGGTGCTTGAGCCGGAGGTTTTGTATCATACGGGGGATTTTCAGAGGATTAGACGGCCGGAGGAGAAGGGTGAGGGGAGGGTTTAGGTTTGAGGTGGAGGGTGGTGGGGTCTGGGATGGTCGTGGTCGCCGTTATGGCGGTGTGCTGTGTTATTGGGACGGGGTGATAGATCTGACAGCTTGTTGGAATGTAGAGCTCACTTACTTTCTACTGATTAAGCTACTTGATTTCTTTGGAGATGCTGTATGTGACTGAGATTGTCGGAGGACTGGGATATTGTCGGGTTGTGGGGATCTCGGGATGTGGGCTGTCGGATACACTTTGCACAAGAAACCCTAACGGTTACTTTGTACCCTGAAGAAGGCTATAGTTGCGAAGGTGGACTTTGTCTCGATAATGATACAAAGTTATTCTCAATCCCTTTTAAGAAAATGCAGAAAATAATCTGTGTGGTTAACAACAGATTATGTTGAAAATTTGCCAATGCTAAACGTCCCCAGTTCTATGGAACCCCTGAGCCAGGAATGCGTCACACGATCTAATAGCCCACATCGCATACCAATCCTCTGAGTTGGTGCAGCCCCCTGAATGCTGCGTATAGACTTCACGAGCAAGGTTCAACGAGAGAAAACAATAGCTCGGTAGAAATTCGATCGCTTGTGTCTCCGCCAGGCCGGCCCACGTCTGCACGATTTCGGCAGCCACCTGGCGGGCACGACGGACGAGACTTTCAGAATATGTCGGCGTCCGTGCCATCTTGCCATTGTAGAGGGCCAGTAGATATGTCAGATATAGTATGTATAGTGCGCCACGATGGACACACAGCGTAAACTCTTTAGATTGTCGTGAATGCTCGATCAAGGTCCATTGAGCTGAGTAGCGAACAGAGGCAGGTAGGTTTTCCAGCCACCGTTTGAGTCTTGCTTCGACGCTCGTGACTAGTGCTGGGTCGAGGTGCTGCATTTTCCATAGCAGAATGGCTGGCTTCATACCATCGTCCAGTGCAACACGCGTTCGACGGTCCAGGTCGACTGTGTAGAGAAGGCGGTACATGCAGCGGATAAGTTTCGACCTTTCGATGAGGATACCACATAGCTTGGCGTGGTATGGTGGCTCTGAAATGCTCTCGCTTGCTGGGCCTTCGCTTGTTGGACAAAAGGTAGCGTTGATTATGGCTCGATCAAATACTGAAAACACGTCGGGAACAAACTGACAATTGAGACTAGGTGGTCGTTTTATTTGGAATGGAGCATCCAGAGCCAGGGAAATTGTGAGATCAGCGGTGTATAAAGACCATACTAGTCGCTCACGCAGCGAAGATGAGATCGTGCAAAGGTACTCTGTGTTTTGATTAACTGGCTCATCTGTTGGATCCAGTAGACCTGCACCGATCGCGACAGAGAGAGCATGGCGAATCCAATATCGGGATTCTGAAAGACTTGCTTCGGAAAGGTTTTCCCGGATACTCAGCAAGATGAGTGCTTGGGTCATGACAATCGGATTGCGCTCGACCGAGAGATTATATGACATCTGCGCTGGTCAATGATGTTACTTGTAGAGGAGAACTTCTGGGGATGCACGCATGCACTCACTCTCGCCCTTTCGCGTATAACCCTCCCAATAGTATCTCGGCTTGGGTGACCCGCTGCCTGTAGTTCCAGGGGATCCACGTATGAGTTCCCCGCATAGAGCACGGCTTGATACAAAAGTGGGTGAGGGAATTGACGGTCATCACTTTCTAGCAGCCTTTGAAAGAGATTTGGTATCTCTAGAACAGGGACTAGGGGATGTACCCATCGCAGATATGACTGCAGAAGAAGGCCGCGTAAATCCTCGCTCGGGAGTAGTAGTGCCCCACTGGACTGAAGCTCTTCTCGATCCTTAAAGGCGATGGAAGTGAAAGCGCAGGCTTGAAACTCGCGACACGAGAGAGATTGAAGCATTTTAAATCCTATACCGATAGGAAAAGCCGGCGTGGGGTCCAGATTCAATGGTGAGGAAATGGGCGCGAAATCCGCCGTGCGCTGATGTTTATTTCTCTGAGTTGAGTTGGTGCGGTGGCATTTATACTTGCAGTAGGGAGAAATGGAAATTCACAAGACGGGGAATAGCGCAACCACCTTATCTTTGCCACGTCGCAGGATTTAGTGCTTACTGTATGCGTCTCATGCTCAGTATATTCTTACAGCTGGACCCCTGATGTGGTGGATCATTCCTGGTCTTCCATGCTGATGCCTAGGAAACCCTGGGAATTAGAGCCGCGGGATGTGTTTCGGACGGACAGTAGGCTAAATTGCCCCATCAATCAGATGCTCCGGATAGATACAATTCCCGCTAAGACAAACGCCTATAATCTTCTTCGATTATGATCCACAGTCTCATCGGCCCAATGAAATCGCCTCTCGGCCCTAAAAATATGGCTATGATAGCACTATTTGCTGCAACCTCATATTAGATTCTTATTGCACCATACAGATCAGGATCATGACATACTTGGCTATCATACATCTCCGTCCTTGGAGGTATAACAAGACAGAAAGCATGACGTGAAACAAATGGTACGACATTAATCATTGCTTGTATTTGTAAGTAAGAATTAACAGACATGTAGTGAATGAATAGAACCCCCTAGGCGTGCTAGCCCGGGACTCAATCGTGCGACCTTCTCCGGGCCCGCACATAGAGACTGCTTGGCTTGACGGTTTGGAACATGGAATCATATTCGATCGGATCATTGCCTTCTCTAAAGAATTCATACCGGTACACGAGCATGGCGATGAAGACTTTCACCTCGCGAGCAACGAAGTTTGTCGCCACGCACATGCGAGGTCCCATCGCAAATGGGATATAGGCTCCGCGGTGTCGATTCTTGACTCTCTCGGTATCCCATCTATCTGTGGAAAATTGAGTCGGATTGTCCCATATGGCCGGATTGTTGTGAAGATGATGGATTTCTGAGATAATCACGCTGTCTTTGGGAACTCGATACCCTCCGGGAAGGATAACATCTTTGCGTGCCGTTCTAGCGGGTTGGAAAGATGTAGTATGACGTCGCTGGGTTTCCTTGACGAACTTATCCAGATAGGATAGGTTTCCTATAAATTCGCCAGTCATTTCTGAAGTCTCTGTCATGTTATTTTCGATTAACTCTTGCAAGAGCTTTTCCTGGACCCCTGGATACGTCACCAGACCGTAGATCAGCCAGGAAAGTAGAAAACTCGTCGTTACAAATCCTGCCGTCAGTGCCACAATGAGCGCTGGGTTTCGGCTTTCATCGCTCAACTTGTTGCCTTTGCTATCTCTAGCACGGACAAGGTAGTCTGTGGGAGCTGATTAGACAGATAGTATGCAGTTCTAGTAAAGCTTTAATACCTGCTAAACTCTGAGTTTTCAAGCCTGCCTCCTGGATGGAGACATGCCCTTCCCCAATGGGAGCCTTCTTGACAGACTCCCCGACCAGAGACCCCACTAAGTGCCATGTATCTCGCAGCCGTTTTGGATCACCGAAAGGTAACCATGTATACCAATCTCCCCATGATGTGACTTTCTTGTTCAACCCTAAAAGCTTGACAATAGCCTTAGGGATATCATGAATGGGAGAATCAACCCTTTCAAAGTGCCTAAAATCAGCCCCAATGATGAGGTCCCCCACGAGCTGCGACGATAGTTTCAGCATGAAGCTGTACGCATTCCATGCTTGGTTCGCCTGATCGAGCTCGTCGAATATTGGAAAGGAATGCCGTACAGCCTCTTCCATGCGTGGGGTATAGGCTGCGATTGCCTTAGGACTAAATGCGGGTACAATGAACTTATGTCCCTCTTTCCATTCCTTGGTGGCCGTATTGGTGAGAAAGATTCCTGCGTGCGCGCTTTTCACCCCGTATAAAGGATGCGCGTGATTGATGTCTTTAGTGAAGAACTCAGTTTCGGCGAACGCATGGGCAGTTAGGACTGGGTCATTAGTGTGGTAAACTACCCGACCCATGACTGTTGTCTGGAAGATCGGCCCGTAAAGTTCGAAAAGACGTTGATGATTGCCAATATGGTCTGGGTATACCTCAAAGTGACTCCCGAGTAATGGAAGCCCCTTGGGTCCCGGAACATCATGGACGGTTTCGCCATCCACTAATATACCTATTGGCTGATTTACTGCGAGAATGTCTTCCGTGGAGCTGAGGTCCTCCCCATCGAGATGAAACGAAATCCCTTGAGAAAGCTTGATTAGTGACATCAATTACTGTCTTGGGGGGCAGTGTCATTTGCATACCTTTTGGCTCTATAATTGCGAATTGGGATGCGACCTTCTTTCGTATGGCGTGTATGTCAAGCTTGCTTCCCACTTCGATCATGCATACAGCCGAATCGTATTGTCCGCGAAGATAGAATTGCTTTTCTGTCATTGCGTAGTTGTCAAAGACTGGGGATTCAGGGAGCTCAGCAATCGATGATTTGAACTCCCATCAAACACTATTCGTCGCAGCCATTCTGTATATATGTGTGCAATATCGGTCAATTCCCGATGATGCTCCATCGCTTATCTTGACCCGGAGCGGATTATGAGAACAGAAGAATTGTCTGGCAGAATCGGCTAAAGTGGCGGCATTCAATTCTTTCAGGTTACTGTAGAGGCCATGTCGATTCCTATGATAAGCGAAAGATGAGTGTGTTGGACTTTAGACTCAGGAATGTACGGTCGAATCGTAGCTGACATGTGGAGGGCGAAGGATCAGTTCGCACAATCTGACCTTCCTTAGCGGATGACGCCAAGCCGCGACATTGTCAGCTTAATAAAAGAAATAAAGACCTTTAGCCCTAGCACTTACTGTTAAGGGGCGTCAGACTAATAAGAGCCATCTGAAACCAAATACACCAGTTCAGCTTTCAGCACTAACCATGTCTGAAATCTGCCAGAGTGTAAACACCACCCTATGAAAGTTTCGAACATACCTAGGCTCGACAGGCTCTATAACAATAGGTTATTAGTGAGCCGTTGAATAACTCTCCGAAGAAGTCATGGGGAATTGTCGTATAAAGCCCTTGGGCTTGCATGGAAGGGACGCCCGTGACCTTTAGTGAGCGGGGCGAAGGATCCTTGCTAGCTTCAGCTACTGCATGCAAGCTGGCACCATGAGCTTTGTTATATTTACTCGGTTCACATATACGGCAGTTGTGCTATATCATACAGATCAAGTATGGTGTAGACTCGAGAGGGGATAAGGGGCAGATAGGACCAGAACATATCATACTGTTCTCTCGTCCCTCGCATTGTATAACGTCTACAACCTGCCAACCTGCGATATACGACAGGCATTTCATATCTACCAGATTCAACATGCGATCCTATTCCTCCGCCGAAGTAAAGGAGCAGGGTGCAGCAAGACCACTCATTATCATACATGGAAAAGGTAAGCGTAAACATGTGTCTTCATTCCCGCATTCCACAAGAACCTTGCGAGCAAATCGAATACTAATATAATCAATGTGCAAATATGCAGTCTACGATGTGAGCAGCTACTTGGATGAGCATCCCGGAGGGAAAGACCTTTTGCTGGATGTAATTGGCACCGATGCGACAGAGCACTTTGTTCAGGCGGGGCATTCCGACGAGGCACAAGATACACTCTCTAGTCTTGCTGTTGGCAGAGTCAAAGATTACCAACACAGAAATGCTCAAGAGACAAAGAGTGCTCTATTTCAAATTGACAACAATGCCGCAGCAACGCCCTCTCAGGTATCGTCGCGCCTTGCAATGGCCGTACCTAGTACGGCCTTCTTGGCCTTGTGCCTGCGGCTTGTGATTCGTCATGCCAATATTGGCAGTACTTGGATTCATTTCCCACCAGTTGGAATACCACTCTTTACTCTCAATGTGCCATCTACATTGTTGCTTTCCTCCGTTATTGCTTTGCTGGTTTCTCTTGGGACCTTTACCTACTGTGTGTCGAGAGTAATTTATGTCGAATTTGGGTACGGGAAATATCCAGAAGTGATCCCCTCGAGTCGGAGGTTCTAGCCGGGAATGATGCATGAGACTTGACTGGCATTGGGCGACAGATAGATAACTAGGCAATGGATTTGAGCATTTTAAAACGCTTTGTTTCAGTCTTGGATCTTCGTACACATTCCTTAAGCATGTGAATACAGGAGGACTTGGCAGCTCGCTGGATAGTCTGGAGTAAGAAATCGATTGTATCCTTAGATAGATGATAAACATTCAATAATTCTTGTGATGACCGGCCATTGCACCCGAGGACGATCTCAAGAGCTTCGACTAGTGGATTTCACGGTTTGCGGTGATCTGTCAAGTGGAGACGGTGTGTGACGGGAGACGGTCTGAGCACTTGCCGATCCACTTGCCGGTCCGCCGGCCGATCCTCAGATCGGAGGCCCTGATTATCAAGCAGTGATCGGTAACCGGGCACCTGCTTTACTAGGCGGCTCTAAATTAGGTCACGCATACACTCGACATTTCACTAACTATACACTTTCCGTCAGCGCTGACGCTGTCTGCTCCTAAAATTAGGGATTCTAGATACTTTATAATCGCGTAACATGTGTGCTCTTCTTCCTCTAGACCTCTCCAGTTTATCAAACAGGCGGCTGCAACAACTACAGTAAATTTACTTCGGTCTTTTCCTCCTCTTGCAACCCTGGGAATCTCCCTTCTTCAATTTCGAAATGGAAAAAGGCCCTGATGAGGAAGATCGTGGCCGCGGACCAAAAATTCTCGGGCCCCAGCCGGTTGACTCCCCGTTGTCCGATGCATCCCCAGCCCCTCTGGCATATACCTATCCGGAAGGAGGACGCAGAGCTTGGTTAGCAGTTGCGGGTGCCTGGTGTTGCAACTTTTGTTCCTTTGGCTGGACTAGCAGCATTGGCGTTTTCCAAGCCTATTATTCAGAGCACCAGCTCTCCTCATATTCATCCTCTGCGGTGTCTTGGATCCCTTCAGCTAATCTTTTTATGTTGATTGTCCTCGCTCCTGTGTTTGGAAAGATATTTGACAACTATGGGCCCCGTTACGCTGTGATATTAGGTGCCTGCGCTCACATTCTAGGCCTGGTGTTTCTAAGCCTGAGCACGGAATATTACCAAATGTTCCTCTCACAGAGTATTCTATCCGGAATTGGTGCCTGCTCGCTATTTTATTCTGGAATGAACGCAGTTAGTACCTACTTCAAACGAAGAAAGGCTCTCGCTATTGGTATTGTGGCTAGCGGCTCATCGCTGGGCGGCGTTATCCTACCGTATGTTCTTCTTGCTACACGTACCGGGTATTGATCACTCATTGAGAGTTGTCGATCGCTAATACTGGTTTTCTGCAGAATCATGTTCGACTACCTGATAGCTGACGGACTGAGCTTCGGTTGGACAATTCGTGCCATCGCATTGACGTTTCTTATCCTCCTCTCGTTCGCTAGCATCGCCACCACCTCGAATCTCAAGCATCAGCCGACGCCAGTGTCTTTGCGGTCCTTCGTGCGCCCGTTTAGGGAGGTCAAATTCGTCCTGTTGGCATTAGCTGCCTACTTCACTTTCTGGGGTGTATTCATTCCTATCAACTACATCGTCGTCTATGCGGAGAGTCTGGGGATGTCATTGGTCTTCTCAAATTACCAGCTTATCTCACTAAATGCCGCGAGGTATATAACGAATCCCCCCCTTGGCTTGTAAACGGAGACGCTAATAACAGTGAACAGCGTTCTGGCTCGTGTCGGATGTGGTTTCATCGGAGACCGATATGGCTGCTTCAACACGATCATCGTCAACGTCGCAATTGTCATTGTTTCAATATTCGTGCTTTGGTTTATTGATACCCCTGGAACGACTATGGCATTCAGTATCGTCTTTGGATGGGGGTCTGGCTCTTTTATCTCTTTACTTCCTGCCTGTATTGCCAAGATTTCAGACATTCGGGAAATCGGTGTGAGAGTGGGCATGATCTACTTCGTCTCGGCCTTTGCCTGTCTAACAGGTAACCCGATTGGTGGGGCTTTGATCCAAGGAACCAACTATCGCTGGATGCAAGTCTTTGCGGTACTCGTGATCTTCGTGGGCATCGCGTTCTTTGTTGCTCTGCGAATGGCACAAAGTCGTACGTTGATGAAGGTTGTGTGACCCATCGTGATTTGGTACTATTTGGAGGAATGGGATCGGAATCGCTACACAGAAAGACAGGCAAATTAGGGGAGAAAGGGTTTATAGACAGTGTAGGCAGCTTGATGTGCCAGAGAGTAGGTATTTCTATGTAATCTAATACATGGTGACAGATTGACAGTAATGTATCGAGCTCACCAGTAGACACTCAATCTCCAGCTATAAAGCAACTTTGTGATCCGGAGAATTATATGTGAATCACAGATCATCAGTACTCATAGCGCTCATTCATTGGACCCACTTGCGAGCAACGATAAAACAAACTTGCCCAGGAACTTGATTTTTGAGATTAGGTTACAATATAACGCCGTGGAAATAGTAATCTTCAATAAGATTCTTCCGATTGTAACTACTATCATTTAAGAATGATTTATTCAGTTATTTTATGATACTAATAATGACTATGAATTAGCCTTTTCTAACAATATTGAAAAGAGATATATAAATATTCTAATATAGTTGAACCAAGCGTTTTTCAGGCCTCAGGTTCTCTCGTAGGTCTCTTTAAGCCCAGATAATCAAGTAACGGCAGTTGAGCTTCTCATATACTTATCATACATGGAGGATCAAAAGAACTAGTCATTTCATAATCATAGTCCTGATATCCGTCGGAAACCTATGTTCTGCACTACCCAGCCACTGCCTAGTTTGGATACTCCCGTGCCCTCGAGTTTCCCGTCTACCTTGCCCATAGCCATATCCGTTAGAAATTTGCCTAGATGCTCGGTTGGACAGTGCATCCCGGTAAAAATATGCCGTATCGGAGGCCCTGCCAAAGCGATTCCAATCCTTGCACCAAGTCCACTGACTGCATGGTTAGGAACATACGATTGAACGGTACCATGCGCTGCCGCGTCAACAAAGCCTGGTCTAACGCTATCGACACGAAGTAGTGGGTTCGTGGTTGACAGGTCACTGAGTAGTTTCTCAGTCTCGCCCTTTACTCTGGCAAATAGCGGAGAAAATAGCCCAGGAGACTGTGTAGCTCCTTCACCGGAGACATAGATGAACCGAAACGGTGGCTTCGAGGACTTGAGGGTGGAAAAGGCTTTCGCCGCAGAGAGGGCATAGTCCTTGGTAATCTTCACATACTGACTGCTAGGCTATTAAAATCTGATAATATTTCGGTTGATTAGGTTGATCAAATACATACTCCTCTGTGACATTTGTTGTGCTCGTTCCTAAAGCCCAGACGCATCCATCTGCATCTTTCAACTTCTGGAGTAACTCTGGCTCATAATGTTGGAAATTCTCATGAATTAAGACTTGGATTCGCGGATCTTTCACATCCTCCGCCATTCGCACAGGCCTGCGACTAAGGATAGTGATCTTGGCAACCTCCGCACTTCTTAGCATGGCATCGAGGACCGAAGAGCCCACCAAGCCCGTTGCACCTGTAAGAATAAGGTGCATATTGTAGACGGTGTATGCGCTTTGTTGTTCGGGTAAATGAAATCCGCTGACAATGGCTGTGGAGATATAATCAAGATAAAAGTCGAGACCAGCGGAGAAACAAAGGAAAAATTCCAGGATTGTTCAGCGTTATATAGACAAGAGCTTAAACCAAGAATGCAGCTCCCGTCCCATTTCCGTACATTATTCGCTGGAAATCACTCACACAGACCGCTGGATGACAGGTTGTAAGGTCTTAAGCTCGGATTTAAGCAATCGAGTTCCGTGTGATGTAAGCTCGGGATTGACGAGACCCGGTTCCGGCGTCAAGTTTGATGGGCTGCCGAACCGTCATCCTGTGTACGCAGGTCAATTTCATTATATTATTTTTGTATGATTACTGTAACTTCCAAGACTTTAGAGATATTTCGGACCATAGTTTTTACTTCAAATAGTCAAGTATCTGTATAACTAGCATCTAACCACACCAGCTCAATCAGGTATAAGAATATGAATTGAATGAAATCGGACCCACTTACTCTATTCTTTCCGCAAAGTCCATTGGCCTGCAAACTTGTAGATCGAAAACGCTAATTCATTATCCAGTCCACACAACCTAGGATGCAGGGTAGACCCTCCATTCAGATGGAAGATGTGTCTTAATAGTTTCGGAAGGGTCTGTCTTTAATCCGGGTTCGACTGAACCTGTTTGCGATCCGGTATACCGACGTCCTGAATATCGACACCGAGATTAATGGACATTCAATGCCTTTCGAATGGTACCACGTTGGAGCTGGCATGCACTGTCACAAAGTCCTAGAGGCCAAACTAGATAAAATCTGAAGGTGATAGCATCAGACTGCCTTGACATTCTACTTCCACGGACCGGATCGCAGTACACCATACGCGGAAACGGCCCTAGCTCCAGATAAACTGTACCGCACGGGTAAGCTCAGCAACTCGTAGTTTTGCAGAACCGTTCATGCAGTAAATGAAGTAGATCAATGAGTAAGGACTATATATGAATTCCAGACCCAAACAGTGTCCTCCCATATTCTAGTTCCTCAAGGACAACTTGCACATCAGCGCAGGCTTCTCCCACAAGGTAAATGTCTTCTGATCCGACCATTGTGTACTTTCCTCACTAAGCTCCAGATCAAAGTTCCACAACAAACGGGAAAGAATGAGTCGCATTTCAGCAAGAGCCAGGTTCCTCCCGATGCAGTTCCGCGGCCCAGTAGAAAATGGTTGGAGCACTTCTCTGTTATCAGAGAAGAATGGTGAAGATGGGTCTGTTTTGGCTTCTGGTAGCCACCGCTCGGGAAGATAATGTTCAGGTGCATAAAAGTTACTTGCTGACTTGTAAGCAGCGAGCGGATGCACGTAGACTTTGGTCTATATGCGAGAAGAGATTAGTACTCCGTATTCATTGTGGATGTATCCTTCCAAGGGTTCCAAGGGTATCCTAGTTTACTCACGCCAGAAGGGATTTCATAGCCCGAGATGAGTGTCTGCTCGATAGTCATGCGGGTGAGCCCAGTCGGAACCGGAGGATACATGCGAAACGCTTCATCGATGCAGGCTTGCAGGTAAGGAAGCTTTGCAGCCACGAGGCTGGCGGTAATTTCGGACTCAAATTTCATGACGGAACGAACTTCGGTAGTTACTTTTTCAAGCGCGTCGGGGCTCTTTAGCAGCCAGTATGTGATGCCGCAAAGCAGTGTGGCAGTCGTCTCACTGCCAGCAATGATAAGCACATTCGCATTGGCCACGATCTCTTCGTGAGTTAGGCCATCATTTGTGTCGTGATTTCGCAACATTGAATCCATAAAGTCTCCGCGATCATACTTTGAAGCATTGTCGAGTCTCTTCTGGACAGTTATTCTAGTGTGCGCCTGTTGCCGCTTCCGTGCATTCAGGAGTGATTTTGGCATAACGAGGGCTAGAAGCTTGAAGATTGTGGGGTATGCATCTCTTAACTTGATGAACGGTAAGAGCTTAATAAATTGGAAGACCGTTGCAACCCAATAGTGATACTGAGAGCTTTCAAGACCGCCAAAGGGTTCTCCAAAAGCCAGGTCACCGATAATGTCGAAGGTGGTCAGATTGTACCACTTGACCATATCAGCTGGGAGCTGTGACTCTGCGATATCCCTTAACCTGGTGATTAATTTGTCGACGTAGCTATTGATGAGAGGCTCCTGGGCCTGTAAGCCCTTGGAGGAAAAGGCGTGTGATAGCGCTTTGCGGAAGCGACTGTGGTCTGCTGTGTTGGAGCTAACTATGTCCTTCGGGTTGGCCGCGGAGCTGGTTACTTTGGGTAGTTCACGGTGGCCATGTCCGTAGATCTTGTTCCACGCTTCTGTGGTGATGAAAGAGACTTCGTTGTGGGTGACGCGTACCACAGGGCCATACTCTTCATGAAAGCGATGTATGTCAGCATCTAATCGCCCTCGGACTGCTGAAATGTGTCGGAAGAGTGGTAGGATGATCCATGATTTAGGTCCAGGAATGTGTCGCAAGGGATGGATGTATAGTGTGTGTATTATGCTAAGTAGCGAGTAAAGGAGATATATGCAAGGGGCGATAGCTAGTGTAAGAGGGTCCAACATGATGCTGATGATGGTGTAGTCAACGATTGATGATCAGGTTCGATACTGAGGTGTAAGATAGGTTTTACGATATTTATATAAGTCCCCATTCCCCGCATCATGCCGGTGGACTCAGCCTCAAACCTACAAAGCAACTAAGCAGCTAAGCAGCTACCGACTGCAAAAATTTCTCGATTTATGAGTCATTACTGATGTCATTAGCGTCTGTCGGGCAAACATGATCATCGCCCTAACGATCTCAGCTGCGCCCCGTGGCTGGGGATTTCTATATCTGAAACATCTCGCTCTTCGCCACTTCCAGTAGTTTTCCGATGTACTTAATATCTCCTTTGCCGTCAAATCTGACTTTCATTGACTCTTTGTGTCTCATCTTTCCCTCTTCATTGAAATTTGTCTCTCAATATTGACATATTGCCGTCACGGAACCTCCTCTTGTCCTTGACCCTCATAAACTCCACCGCCAAGGCCAGCCAGATCAATACCCACAGCTTCTCCACCCACCGGAAATATCACCCCAATACCCAGCGACACCAAATCAACGTTGTATATCCAACCCCTGAATTAGTAACAATGGGAGGCCTCCAATTCCCACCCGGTATCGACGCAGACGATATGATCGGGGTCGGAAAAAGCGGAATAGCAGCGCTAGACCCCAAAACAAAGCACGTCATTAAATTCCCATACAACACAGACGAGGGAGGGGCTGAATGCGCTCACGAGAAGGAAATATATGAGCGCTTAGAGCGCTCACCACTCCCGAGACCATCATCCCTCCTAAAGTACTACGGCTCTACAGAGCACGGGATCCTCCTGGAATACGCAAAACACGGTACGTTGCGGAAATATTCATACGGTTTCGATTATGGGATCCCACCCCCTATGATTCTCCGCTTTGCGGAGCAAGCAGTGGAAGCTCTGCAGTTCATTCACGACAACGGGATAGCTCATGGTGATGTTGACTGTGTGAGCTTTTATGTGGACGAGCTACTGGACGTGAAGGTCGGTGATTTTACTCGTTCAACCGACGCTACGCCACAGGCTGTGAAGCGGGATATTTCGGATTTCGGCTCAGCTATTTATTATCTGGTAACCAGTCAGTATCCTTATCCAGGGATGACAGACAAGCAAATCGAGGAGCGATTTCAGAGGAAGGAGTTTCCGGATCTTACGGATGTGCAGTTGAAGGGAATTATTCATCCGTGCTGGGCGGGTCATTATACGAGCTTTGAGGATGTTTTGGTGGATATCCAGGAGCATATCCGGCTTCTTTGAGGGTGGTGGCCAGTATGCTAAGGTGCGATCTCACTCTCGTCATATATACACGCATATACATGAATTACTGTGAGGTGGCTTATATCGTGGTTTAGTTCACAGGAAGCAAACAATGGGGGAAGATATAGACCGAGATACAAAAGATAATCTGTATGCGACTTCCGAGAAATATTCTAGTTTCTGAATAGAAAACACTGTCATTGATAGGTGTCCTAGTACGTGACATAGCCCGAAGCCACTGCAATTCTTAATTCCATCAACAGGCCTAATATCAGGTATTCCGATAAGAGCTTGCATGGGCCAACGTCCTTGATGGGACATGCATAGAAGGCTGCAATCTGCATGCGGATTATCCCAAAGAGGCAAATTAGCCAGCAGTGATTTGATACTTTGTGGTAAATTTTATTTTACTGCTTCGACGAGTATTCATCGCAGAAATCGTGTATCATTCGTGTGTTCAATGCCAAAAAGCGTAGCACGCTGCTGGTGATTCCTAGCTCAAGCTGTCGTAGCATATTGGAAGGTAATATAAACCCCCATCTAGTCAACAACCAACAAGTTCCTATAGACGGTAGTACATAACACATAGAATAACTCGGGTACACTTCACTTGGGGCAAAAGGCCGGCCAATGGCCCAACGCAAGATTGTGTCCACTATATAATATTCTAGTCCTGCTGCTGACTAGTCTGTGAAGTTTCGCGTTATGCATATTTTACCTACGCGTATTACATAGAAGACCGAACTTGGAGAGATGATTCTGTTTATTCTTGCGAGAATACCACGTTGTGATATACTTTTGAGATCGATTGGCATCAGTGCATGACTAGCAGGTTCACTATCTCCGACGGCGCGTTCGGCAAGCAGGCTGAACGGAGCGAAGGGCAGCCCTTGACCTTAGTGCAGCATCGGGCGCAAAAATTGTTACCAACCAGGGATAAGATCAACAACCACTGAGTCGTATCAGCTCAATTATTGGTCACAACCAGTGGACAGAAAACGCATCACTTCGCGGCCCAAACTTTTGTCACTGTAGCTACCCCGCCTTGGGGCGTCTTCGTGAAAGCTCCAGGTAGGAGATGAAGTCGGACAAAGTAAATAAAAATTGCATAACCAAACAAACTTTTGCTATTAAGATGCAGGTCCTTCTTTGTCTTGCGATAAAGTGGGCGACATCAAACATAATTATGTAGGATTATTTTCCTCAATACATTAAATAGCCCTGATAACCCACTGCTATGTAGTTATTACCCAGAAAGGATAGTTTATACATCTACCCGAAGCAGCGTGGCAATATTTGGTTTATTTTAAGCTCAAGATAAGTCCCTATCTTGAGTCGTGAGCTCAATGGCTAACAGCCATAGTGCCTTGAGCAGTAGTACTATGCGACCGAGTGCTCTCTGGCTGGTTGCAAGTAAGGCGTGGAAAAGGCATGATTGGCCATGTTGAATGCAAGTCAGCCGCACAAAAGACCACACTAAGGATCCACGAGCAGGAACACGTCATAAATTGACAAGGGTATACGCGCTGGGACATCGTTCGTAGTGCTAGCTGAAAGAAGCAAAAATTGCACCGCACCTGTACTTAATTTCGCGGTGATGGCTCGTTCCTCCCCAAGTGCATCCTCATTCTTTCTCGTCTGTATCGTCCGCTTCCCAACATATTGCCCATAATGGGTCAATCCAAGTGGCTCGCGTGTCTCAAATTACGATTCAGTGCGAAAAGCAAAAGCAAACACAAAGAGTCACTGGGGAATGACACCGGTCAAGCATCAGCATCAACTCCCCTCAAGGAGTCTAATCAGTCCTTCGGCGAAACAACAAAGCAAGTGGAGAGCTCACAATCTAATCGCCATAGCTCCGAACATGGACCGAGTGAAATCGAGTCAAAGGAGCAGACAAATCATATATCCCCCGTTATGGATGAACAGGAAATACCAGATGTAGAAGGCATTTGGGAAGAGGCCTACGGTCGCATACGCAATAACAAGGGGATGGAGAAATTGGTGATTGAATATGAGAAGGTAGTCCGTTCAAAGCTCCCGTCGGCGACGGACCCTGATTCTGGCAACGTCAACAACGATCAGATGCCCCTAACGCGTCAACTTGCTGGTCTAGACGGGGAAAGTCGCCAGAAATTGATGGACGAGTTGGTCGAGGAAAGCAGCAATAGCGCAGCTGATATCAAAGCATTCGATACCTTCTCGAAAGTATTCAACTCGACCAAGGATGGAATATCGAGCATGCTGGCTGTTTACCCACCTGCCTCTATTGCCTGGACAGGGGTCTGTTTAGTATTGACTCCGGTAGGTTAATCTGGATCATCGATATCGCTCCAAACATGAGGACTGAGAGAACGAAGCTTGTCAAATACAGTGATCAAGTTAGTGCGAGTCATAATGGCCTCCTGTATATTATCGCGAAGCTTCCATGGTATGCGCACTTGATCGAGCTTCTAAAATCTGAAACGTGGCAGTCTCCCCAGCAGTTCCGGCAGTCGAAGGCTCCGCTCAAAGAGGCAATCATAGAGCTATACAGGCTCATTATTGAATTCCAGATCTTGACTTTGCGAGAATGCCATCACAAGTTCAGAATTCTTTCCAAGACCTTCGTGGGGCTGGGCTCATCCGCGGAGGATAGACTGGCTAAGATCGAAGAAGCTGAGAGCGAGGTGCAGAAGTATATGGAAATCGATTTCAGAACACAAGTGTTGGACACGCTCAAAGGCATCAAATCAGCTTCAGCCCAAATGAAGACCGGCTTGGCATCAGAACTCTACAGGCAGTTTGCGTTGAGGCAACAGTCAAAGCTAATCGCAAAGTTTAGGCTCGACGAAACACATCTGGATATTGATTCGTATCAAGCCTACTACGAGGATATCAGCAATCCTTCAAGTGGAACAACCGAAGGCTTCCGTGAGCACAGAATATATCAAGAATGGGAATCCGGATCAACTCGTTCTCTGCTTGTGGTGGCCAACCCCGGTACTGGAAAGTCGGTGCTGACCAAATCTCTTCATGAGTCACTATCTAGACCAGGTGGACCTGCGGTTTGCTCATTCTTTTTCAGCGACCGCGGTGGTCAGCAAAATAACATGAATGTTGCTTTTTGCCACATTATGTATCAATTATTCCAGAATCGACCAGACTGGATTGTCCACGTGGCGGATGATATTCAGAACAAGGACCCGGGCGACATACGATCAAATTTCCGTTTTCTATGGGAGCTCCTTCATAAGGTACTCGTTAAAGCTGAACCGGATAGTATTGTTGTTCTGCTTGACGCCTTGGATGAAAGTGAGCCTGGCGCAAGGGAAAAGTTTATTCAGCACTTGCACGGTTTCGATAGCCCAGCTCTGAAGCTCTTCTGCACTGCCCGTCCACTGAGTGGCATCATTGACGGCTTTCACCCCGTGATGGATTTCATTTTGGACCTCGATCAAGATGCGCAATGCCGGGAGTTTCTTTCAAGGGATATTCAATGTGTTGCGAGTCGACGTCTGGAGAGGTTCATGCAGAAACGGAAGATCGAAAATGAGTCTGTTTGTTTACAGCTCCGAGAAATGCTCAGAAAGCGCGTTGAAGGAGATCGGACATATCTATTTGTCAAATTGCTTTTCGATGTTTTGGATAAGAAGAAGCTGAGTATGACAAGATCGCTGAGGGCATGGGTCAAAGAATTCGATAATATTCCAGAGACAGTCTTTGACGCGTATACCGAGCTACTGGACGCAATAGATGAAGCAGATCGTGAAGCAGTGAAAGCTATGTTGGAGATTGTCTTGGCCGCACAGAGACCTTTGACCGTTGCGGAAATGGAAATTGCCTTGAAGGTTGGTATGGATGACGAGGCCTTTGAGCGTGGAGACGAGTTCAACCCACTTCTATTTAAAGCAGACATATTAGAACGATGTCATTTCCTACTAGTGACATATAATGACCGTATCTACTTTATTCATCATACGGTTAAGGACTATCTTCTATCGGGACAAGAAAGCCAAGTGAGACCGAAGGACAGAAGACCAGCCTGGCTACAATCGATCAGCACCGTGTCCTGCCATGTAACGATACTCAACAGCTGCATGCGTTATATCTCCGCCCCATTCAATCAACGCCCGGAGATAATCTCTGTTGAGGATTTCTTCCACCTGCCTCTTTGTGAGCAGCTCGAGCATCAACAATGGTATTGGGACACATTTCCACTTGGGCAATATGCGTTTTGCCAGTGGCTAGTTCATCAGCAAGTCATAAGAACTAAAGAGGGAAGAAGTCCAGAAACCCTTATTGAGATGCTCCCAAGACTCCAAGAGGAATATTATACCCTATCCTTCGATGTCGTATTGTCAATGCTCTGTTGCTCTGGCTTTACGTCTGAAGCGGAGGCGAGGCTTTTCCAGAACATGGTACATCTAGGGAGTAGAAGCATGACAGAGGCTCTCAACAACATGTCCCAAGGCCTGATCTTAAGGTCTGCTAAATTTAACTCACATGCGGATCTTACTTGCGCGATAGAAATCACCGCCAACGTGGTCGAGCAAACGGCAGAAGCAGACCCCAGGCTAGGTAGGATGCTTATTAACCTAAGCCGAGCACGCGTTCTCGAGCATGCTTTGTATGTTTACGAAAGCTCGGACTTGAAAACTGGCCTGGAGGTTGCCGAGAGAGCGCTGCGAGTGACACCAATTGGCAGTATTGACCGAGCTAGGGCATTGCATCAGCACGCTGTTTGGGCAAACTGGAACGAGGACCTCGATCAGGCAATTGAAGATACTGAGAACGCCTTGACTCATACCCCTGACCTGAGCAAAGCAGACAAACAGCTATTTTATCACTCCTTGTCCATGTGGTTGGGATACCGATTTCAAAGGGCGGAGCAGCCCCAAGACGATGACTTACGCAGGGCTGTGGAATGTGCGCAGAGGGCTATACATGGCATGTCAAAGAAGAATCCGAGATACCCCAGTGCGCTTCACACGTTGACTTTCTGGTTGAGGACGACTGCTTCAAAGTATCCTGACAAGCCAGAATGTTTACGTCAGGCAAATGAGGTGGCTGAAGAGGCAAATGGACTTAGGCTACCCACTGAAGCCTATAGTCATAAGTATCTCATTGAGCTATCTGAATGTTTGCTCATGCGCTATGAGCGTGAGCGTAACATGAAGGATCTCGAAGATGCTCGTGAGCTTATAGAGGAGGGTTTGCAAACGACTATAGAAACATTTCCCTTCTATCGCAAATTCATCAATCTCATGGAAGTAGTGGAGAAGTTTGAAGAGGAAGCACAAAAGGGGAAAGTATAGATAGCAATCCCTGTATCTCAATTTAAGAATGGTATATCGCATTTAAATTTCGAGTCGCTGCCACTAAGGTGTATGGAGTATTTATTTTGCTCTTCTTCTTCCGTTCATAATTCTCATAAATTGTACTGATCCCCTACACAAACCCTTTGGTTTAGACATTTTCACCCTAAACACTGACATGAGCTGTCCATTGTACTATTGATACTAGGTAGTAAGTTATTAAAAAATAGGAATAATCAGAATAGATTCATGAATCGCTGCTGTGGCTTCAAATGAGTTCCTACCTCCCATGGTACAATAAAAGTGTAACGCCTATGGAGAAGAGGAGAAACGTGAAGAATGGTATTTGGGCTCAGATATAAAACACCCAATATGCTGTTACTTCTCAATCCTCCTTTAGGTCTATGCAAAGGAAACTCTCCCTTGTCTATGGCTTCCCAACCTCCAGAACAGTAAACCCATACTGCTTCATCTTGTATACATGAAATAACCCAGGAGGCCCCAATAACAACCTTGGCTCTTGCATCCGAGCCACAATATTCTTCCAATCCACACCAGCCCCTACAAACTCATCCCAGTCGGTATGCAACACAATCACGCTGCATCCCTCACACGCTGCCTCAGTGCTCTCTACCACAGCAGTATTCACATGAGCCGCACCACACTGTAACATCAGTGCCTTTTCAATGCGTTGCCTCGGGACGTGCGGATCAAAGACATTGACGCGTAATCCACGGCCAACCAAATCTCGAACTAACTTGATCGCAGTGGTATTTCGAATGTCCGTTGTGTTTTTCTTGAAAGAGAAACCAAGAATAGCTGCCTTCGTCTCGATCCCTGCTACATCAGGGGGCAAAAATGACATTATCCGTTTCGTGATGCGTGTGGATTGGGAGTCATTGATTTGAATCACTCCCCGCCAGTACTCGGCCACGTCGTCAAGTCCTAGCTTACGAGCTAGATAAATCAAGCAGCAGACATCTTTGCGCAGGCAAGAACCGCCGAATCCGAATCCGGCTCGCAGACATTGCGGTCCGATTCGTGGGTCGAGACCAGCAATCCGGGAGAGCTCGGTGACGCTTGCGCCAGTCGCTTCGCAGACAGCGCTTAGGGAGTTTATGCTGTTGATGCGCTGGGCAATGAGTGCATTGGAAGCAATTTTGGCTAGCTCTGATGACCATGTGTCGGTCGTGACTATTCGTTCCTGAGGCACCCATGGTGTGTATAAGCGTATTAGGGCTTTCCCTGACTCGGGAACGGTGCCGTCTGCTGCTGGTTCATAGCCAATAACCACCCGGCTAGGGCTCAAGAGATCTTGCATTGCGGTGCCTTGAGCTAGGAACTCGGGGCTAGATATTATGTCGAATGATGCCGTTGGTGGAGCGGCAGCTTTAAGCTAATCGTAAACTAGTCAGTTGGGTCCATCGTTACATGACTGCTGCTTGAAAAAGCATCACGAACCGTCTTTTTTATCCATTGACAGATGCCACTAGGTGCAGTACTTTTCTGGACTATAACCTTGTGCCCTGTAGAAAGCTCCGCGATTGAGTTGATGGCAGACTCTAGATTCTTCAGGTCGAGGCCTCTGATCTCATCGCTATCAGGAAACTGGGCAATCAGAACCTCCTACATCGTTTCACAAACTCATGATGTGAGACTTACAGAGACTTCTGATGGAGTGTCAACACATATGAAAATGATTTTGGCGTCTGATATGTGTGTATTAATATCAGCAGAGAAGGTTATGTTCGCAAGCCTTCTCCTCCGCCTCCCTTCATAACCGTGTAACAAAACACGAAGTGCGTTCTCCTGGATTTGGCCATCCTCAAATAAGATATCTTCGAGGCCAGGCTCGAATATGGGGATGTGGTCTGAATTCCAAGCCGCAATCAGGGAGGCATCTTTGTCGACCACACTGAAGTGCACAGATGGGTTCTTAGAAGCCAGAGCTATTGCTGTCAATGCACCTGAAGCAAGAGAAACATAAGTCATGAGAGTTTTGAAACTGCTATGAGGGTAACAGCTGGTCCCGACTTACCCACATAGCCCGCGCCAATCATACATACCTTCTGAAAGTTGCCCTCTGGCCACTGGTTCGACATATTTTCCATACTGTTAGATCCCATTACGAAGCTTCGTCGTTCACCTAAAATACGTTCTCTTACTTTGAAAGAGCCATGTTAAAAGAAATGACAGGCAGTGAGGAGGGGCTCTATATCCCTATGTCGCGTCATATTTGATGTGGTTCACCGGCAGTCATGATCCTTGCCTGCAGTTGAAACATCATATGCACTGCAGGCACCCATTTGAACCATAGGTCTTAGTTGCAGACATGTCTACAATGGCCGATAGGCATGGGAATTTACTTCCTAGCAGCATCCTCCAGTCACCACCCAACATGATCTGCGACAGATAAGACTATGTTGTCGAGCCTTTTCTAGAAATGTCTTTTCTGCACGGCATTTTATATGCGACATCCAAAACATCGGCATTTTAATATTGATTGACCATTTACAGTACCGTTTTTTCGGGGATTACCTCAGGGTATGTGCTTTTCTTCTAGTGTTATCTTTTACTTCCATATATGTAGATCTCTTGAATTTTGAATTCGGAGCATGATGACCTGTATGCTGTAGCCTACAACACCAAAGATCCCGACAATGCTTCTGCGATGAACAATTGCCAACTTGACACCTCTCCCTTGCCGACTCACCGCTACTCCGTCACTGCGTCAGTAATTCCGATTGAGATACACCGAAATCACACATCACAGAAAAAAAAGTGATTGGTCTTGTTCCTGAGAGATGATTTAGCTTTTTTCCTACTTAAGTTTGGGCTAATGCAAGGACACAGTTCCTTCCTTCCCCACATACTTCGCTTAGCTTTCAGTGTCGAGGGATTACTTCTGTCTCTCACCCGCGCAACATCTTTCGTTCTTTGTATCACTATCGCTTTTTTACTTCCATAAGTTCTCGTCAATTCTCCTTTATCGAGTCTATTGGTCACTCGAGGTCTTCTGTTCTGGTCCTCGGACTACAGCAGCCTCGCTCGTTAGTTGGTTCAGGAACTAATGCCGAGGTGAAAGAGTGGCTGTTTCAATGCTTGATATCCTACTATATCATACTATGTTGCAAGAAATAATAGAGGTTATATAGGCGTATAGCAGAACTCCATTTGGGGGAATTGGACGAAAATATATTTCTCCAACATGCCTGCCTGAGTTTGAGACCGGTATGGTACTTGACAGCACTACCAAGTTCCTGACAGCACACGTACAACTGCTCCCAATCATCAAACTTGCCGGGAGCCCCAGTGGTTCTATAATCTATCAATATCCGCGTTAATTTCTAGAATGCTTGGGTGGAAACTTACCGCATGCAGAGTTAGGGTCGTATAGAGAGAAACGAAATAGTACTGTATGAGATCCTTCAATATCTGGGCTCCTAGATGTCTAAAATACCACCTGTGCACCATACCGTATGCAATGTGTTCAACGAGCAGTGGTACATAGAAGCCAATCCAGAAAGTTAGCCTGCACGGTTAGCAAGGCTCAATAGGCGCGCGCACACAGGCCATATTCCTTACCTTCGGCTGAAAAGCCTCTCAATGACAAGCCATGGGTCAGAGAAAATAAACACCACGAACGAAAGACGCCATAACTGGAGTACCATGGATAATACTGTACGGGATGTGGTAATAGCTAGCCATGGATATCTAATACTTGTGTTACTATTGAAGAATGACCATCAAAGGAAGATAAGGGGATAACTAACCGCTTCCACATTCGTTTTGATCCGAAAAACCGCTTCAGACTTGAGATCTTACCATTCCTTGCCCATCGTAGGGTCTGTTTCACATGACGACTGTCGTTGAGAGCCTCGCAGTAGATCATAGCCCCTGTCTGCATACGGGTTTTCCATCCGTGGTTCAATAGCCAACGGGTAGTAAACTGGTCATCGCCGCAGTGCATGCGGTATCTCCATACAAAGTATTCGTTTGTGAACGCAGACAGATATTCCGGGTCTTTCAAGATGCACGCTCGATAGGCTGCAGTCCGTCCAGTTAAAACCGTTTGACTACCATCCAGCCAGCTGGAGGCAGCAATTTCTATATTGCGCATGCTGAGGCGGCGAGCCTCGAGGGCTTCCCAGAACGTGATTGTTTCAGGACTTCGAGCGTCCAGACCATGTGCTTCTTCCTGCGTGGTGACGCCACCAACTTCGGGTTCCAATTCCAGAACGCCGAGGACTTGTTGCAAAAGGTTCTTGGTCCAATACACATCATCGTCCGCTAGCACAATAACCTCTCCTGTGGCTGCTTGGATGCCGCGCATGAGCTGGTTTCTTTTATTGGGTAGCGGAATGTCGAGAGCTTTAATCCTATGTAGTTGTTCTTTCGGAATGAACTCCTTAAGAGCGGCCCTCATTTTCCCGATCAAAGCTGCTGTCGTGACGATAATAATCTCCTTAGGATGGTTGTCCAACATGGTGTGGAGCGGGGGTATGAGGTCTGCAGGTGCGCCAATCGTGGGTATCAACACGCTGACACAATCCGATCGCATTCGAGGGTTATCTGGTACCGGAAGTGGGTTCATTCGCCAGTATCCATAGAGTCGTAAGGTACGTCTGACAAGATGCCAGCCCCTTTTCTGGTCAGCAGCAACAGCATTGTGGTGGGTGGTTGTCTTCAACTTACACCAGAAGCCAAAAGAATGAAGTCAACTCCATTTCAGGGAAGAGTCAAAGAGGTCAGGCTGTTCAGTAGGGGAGTGGTCCTCCTCGATGTATACCGAGGGCTGGAAAGACCGGTAGGTCGGACTTTATCAACAATCCATCCATCCCTTCGGTCCCCGCGTGTATTCTAACGGCCAGCCATCCGAGCGGGCAGACATATTGAACCTCCCATGGTGGCGGTGAGATCTTTAGACCTCAATTTGCTGCAAAATTCTAGCAGTCCAGTAGCGTACATCATACTTTTGCTTTGTTATTTCACCATGATGGTTGGTAAATCGGTCGGACCGGGGGTGTTCCTAGGCCGATCAATCCCTTGCCGTCCTCCTGCGACATGTTTCATGTGCTTCGGACGTCCCTATGCCAGTCTTGCATCCTTTTAGATACATCAGTAACGAATGCAGCATTGATTGGCCCCTCCAGACCGCTCTTTATTCGCATGACGCTCGTTTTTCAATAGCTTGACTGTCCCGTCAATAACTTCCGTCGTGTCATATCTCTCATTCGCTAACGTTCAAACTTTGTGTTGATCTGCCTCCTCCGGAACTATTTCCCAGGAGATAGACCATATGTCGCGCGGCGCTTGCAGAGTCTCTAAGCATCAATGAGTCCGAGTGAATATCGTGCTGCTAATAATTCTCCAGTCTGTCACGTTCAATATGTGGGTTAAATACGACTGAAGGGACGTGAAGTTTCGTTTACCACACCCTGTGCCATAACATACTGTAACTGTTGCCTTAGCCAGTCATGTGCTGCATTACGACACGTAGAGAGACACACATGAGACATATATTACACGACACTTCATATCACAAGACAAATACATCTAGTTACATGCAATTATCAACAAAGCTGGAGAGTCATCAGTCATCAATTCGTATCGAGAGCTTGGTGTTTCCTTTTCCCCTTGATTCTTGTCTTTTGACCCCATAGGCAGAGCCTCGCGTTCTAAAAGTGTTCCTTCCAGAACTTGAACCGGATGTCCCTCGTTGAGGTGGACATGGCCGCCTCCCGGATTTGTCTGGCAGCGGCATTAGGGCCACAGAAGTAGACTCCAATTTCTGTAGTCGAATTCCCATGCACGCCTGACAGATAAGTCTGGTCTTGTAGACCATCACGCATGGCAGTGAACAGGCGTTTGAAGTCCGGACGGCCAAAGTTCGTCCTACTTCGCAACTCCGTAAGTGGGTCGACAGCCTGACCGACGGAATTGAGGAAAATATTAGCGGCAGTGTCGTCATCCAGTCGCTGTGTGAGATATGTGTGGATGCGTAAGAATTCCGCCTTCCCACTGTACTCTGCTTCGGCTGCCGACTGAGATTCAAGAGAGGAGAGCAAGGCTTGGAACCATTCGAAGGACGACGTGTCCCTACACACCCAAATGAACTCGACGCGACGAAGACGGCCGGCTAGCTTAGGGTCAGATCGTAAGTGCCAAATGTTCTTGAGGATCGATGCCCATGGTGTGACACCTATTCCCGTGCCGATGAGGACGGCCACCTCGTTATCGAAAACGTCGTCGGCCGGGGCTCCGTATGGTCCGTCAACGCGCAGCCTAGGCATCTTTTGTCCGTTATGCAGGGCGACTTCATACATTCCCAGCGGGTCGAGTCCTTCCATATCTCTGGCCTGCGCTGGTCCGCATCCTAGTGCGTCACCCAATGCACGAGTGAAATCACCGACTTGGCGGACGTGGATGCTAATGTACGGATCGAATGGACAGGACGTGATTGTAAACGGATGCCATTGGTTGCTGGATACATCGGGTGATTGAATGAAGAGCCATTGACCAGCCTTGTACTTCATACTATCCTTGCGGAACTGAATCTCCATGGCATCTGCGTATCGCTGTTAGGAAAGTTCAGAAGCTTATATCTGCATATGTAGAACTTACCATACGGATGGCGAACCACCTTTAGGATAACGGTGTGGCGTCTTGCTCGGATCTCGCGGTACAGCCTTTCAAGCATGTACAAGCCTCCAGCCACTAGTTCCCACCTCCAGCCTTCGTAGCCTAAGCAGTGATTCCAGAATCTAGACCCAGCAAAAGGTGAGATAGGCTCTTCTGTGTCTCGCACGAAGCAGCCTGTTGCATGTGTATACAATGCTAAAAGGAACGGTACGAAAAGATGGTGCGTATACCAAAACGTCTCAAAAGATTGTTGCCGGATCCGCTGATGGGACGTGGTGTACATCAACATCATGCAAAGGAGCATGACATGTCCTGTAATCCCACCAGCTTCTGTGTAGTGAATTTGAACTGCTTTGACGGGGCGGATATGATCTTTTTCGATATTGTAAAAGCTGCTTCTGTCAGAACAATGACCTCGTGGTCGGAATATTTGGGCTTACTTCACATAATGAGCCGCTGCATGAACTATGGTGAAAAACAGAAGGGCATACGCGACCTGACGATGAAACCATACCGTTTCATCTAGTGGTAGCCATCGCACCCTAGGTCTTATTGTTTTAACAAGATTTCGGCACATGGGCAGCAAGAGGAGGGTGGCATCGCATGTCAACACCAGCCCAGCGCCCCGTGATATCCAAACGGAATACTGGAGGGTATTGAGCATAGCCAGCCTCTGGTCCGAAGCCTGAATATACCTAAAGATTCTCAGTACATATACGTGCAGTCATTAGGAACCGTCAGACTTACCACCCCACTGCAAAAATGACAAAATGTAGCGCCCAAAAGATGGAGTAGAACCAGACCTTTGACGCAGTAACGTATGAGCCCCAAGCATGTTCCATGATGGTCACAGTGCAGTACAAGCATGTAATGAATTTTTAGCGAGGCTCTATCATTGACCTGCAATGACCCGTTTTCAAAGGAGTGAATGTTTTGAGTCCTTTTTTTCTGGGATTCCTTTCGAAGGCGCCCGTACCATAAGTGAAAGGAGCGATTTTGGTAGATACTCTACTCTAGGAATCCATAAATAGAATCCTCCCTCCAGAGCTGGCGCTTCGCTCAAGTATCCGCTGAGTTAAGCCGGCGCAGAGCGACAGCCTGTGGCGCCAGTAGATAAGGCGCTTTGAACGCTGAAAGGAGCCGTAGGCACCCTGAAGTCCAGGGGACTCACGGAGATCACAGGCTTCCCTTGGCTTATCGTGAATAATGGCTCATGAATAGGGTTTCTCAGGTGCTAGAGTCAATGGCCGGAGGTTCAGGACGCGGTAGAAGCCGACGATCACAGAAGGCTGGGACCAATCGAGGAACAAGGATCAGATCCGATTATATCATTCTTATTTTAAACGGGCCTAGGTCCTGAAGGGTAACCTCTGAGTAGGGTGGTGTGGGGTTGATGTCAGTTGAGAATCCTGTGTCAAGCGTCTGGTACCCGGAGATACGGTTTTGGTTGCAGAAAGGAGGGGAAGAATTGATGAGAGACACGAGGATCAGGATTTCTGCTTCTATATTTACCCCAACCCCTGCGCTGTGCGGACTTGTGGTGCCGCTAGGATAGCCTGCAGGGAGCGGATCGCCCGGTTGGACACCACTATCCCCGAACTTGCCGTTTACAGGGCTCAGGCGAAAATGAGATGGAGCAAAGACCGTCAGGCGTTGAACTATCGCCTGATGCGCCAGATTCTTGGTGAAGAGAGCTCGAGTCTGACCGTCCTCTGTTGACTGGATAGATAATCCTTCCACTCGTATCCCAAGGCCACAACCGAGTATGCTCCTCAGTCACACAGCCGTTTGAGTTTTGCTTTGCGGTGCACTCGTTAAGCTGTCGCGCGCGATTGGCGCACTTAGTAGTGACATGATAGGTTAAAGTCCGTCTTTTTTTAACCTACTGCCATCTCCTCATCTCCCGGTATCCGCCACTAACCTTACCATGTGGCACCGGGATTGTGAGTTGCTATCAATGGCCCGTAAATCCATATTTGATTCTTCTATATTCCTCCGGCTGCTCCGTTGATTCGTTTTGTGAAGGGTGGAGTCTCGGCCAATTCCAGCCTATGAGAAGCGCTGTACAGGCGCGCATCCCGTCACACGCGGTCAAAGCGGCCATCGACATGGGGAGCGCACCTTTGTGACAGTCTGGACAGACAGGAATATGATTCGAGATGCAAATTAAGGTCTGGTTGCTACCAAATATAGCTCTCGCATTTTGAGCCAAGACTTTCATGATCCAGGTACTAGTCCAAAGCAGAATCATCTCCGGAATTCGAATGGAAGACCCTGGTATTTCCTAGTGGTGAGTCCTTGGCGTGGGTTGAGCAGGGAATCAGACGATATTGCTGGGGCATATTTTAAGTTCTTGGCCCTGCATGGTTGAGGTTCTCATCACATCTAGTGACGACTAGATTGGCACTCGGACCGTGTGGGTAGGAACGGTGCTATAATTATCTTGAGTGATAGGGAGCTGCGAAAAGACGGTGAGTTGTCTAGTAGCAGCCTTGATTCCAGTATAGGTTTCCCCGTGATCTAGAGATTCTTCTTCCATCTCGGGGTTTTAAGTGAGACTGGCTTCTTCCCGTAGGCGTATATTTGAGGTCGTAATAGTCGCCTTGACAGCGGGTATTTCTGGCTGTGTAGCAGTAGGCGCCCGATGGAAATCACAGCAAGGACTGGGGGGCAGGGAAAAGACCGACTACCTGGGCACCAATTTCCCCGCTTCTCAAAGTCTTCACAAGATAGTCCGCCATCAGAGGAGCTTGGATGCTGGAAGCCCCGGCCGGGCGCTTCGTAGCACACGCTCCAGCCACTCAGAAGCCAAAGCTCCGCAGCCAAACGGGGTGTGATGCACTAGCGACCTGACGGGGCGTGACGGTGGAGCGGAGGATGCAGGAGATTTGCGGCAACACACTTTAGCGGCCGATGCATCTCTGTCAGTTCCACGTTCTGCTTCCTCTGATTGATCCGACCAGCCATGGCGCTCCCAGGATCATTCGCACTGTCACGCTACACCGAGCGCCCAGATCCAATCATAAGGTATCCTCGTGAAGAAGTCAAGGGGGTGAGGATCGCTTCCAGCGGAGAATGGTAGCTGATTGGATTAGGAAAGAGAGCGGTTGATAAAACGCATCCACGTATCACAGGCGTTGAGAGGGGGAAGCGCGGAGGACGGCGAGTCCGTTGCGTTCGGCCTATTGTGAAGAAGATGCAAATCAGGTGGTCTCCTCCGTTGGCGCCGGAAGCTACTAATGTACGTATTGCTGCTCTTTTTCCCCCTCCATGGCCACCATCGGCTACCTGGACTATCAGCTGAAGTTTGCTCGGTCATGCAGTACATGATTATTTGAACCGACACTATCTCATTTTTCCTGCATTAAGTTTATGTGGTGATGTGATTGTTGTGATTTAAAGCTTATCCGACTCACACACACTACATACGACTACTTCTCCTCACAAGCAAACTGCCGGGGAAGAATTTACCAACCTTGACCTTGCATCGCATCTCTCCACCTGCCATGTCATTTGGAACGAGCATAGCACACACGACATTGATTGATCGGGTGGATGGTTGAGGGATCCCCTACGGTCGAAAAAGCAATCCTTGTGTTTATGAGACAACAACAGCATTGTGTCTATACTTTGAGTAACGAGCTCTTTCGCCGGACGGAAGACGCTTGAACTCCCCACTATACGCCAAAGCCTGCCTACCATGGGAAGACTTATCAAAAATCACTGGGCGCGACTTATTATCCTCACTGCCTCAGCTTGTATGCACCACGTCTTTATCTATTTTGTATAAAGATGCTAATCTGAGCACTGAATGTACAGACCAAATTGGCGCGGCGATCGAAGGATTTATCTGGCCGAAGGTGTTCTGGGACTTTATGACGCTCAACCTGAACGGCGCTGTGAATCCAGTCCCTGTTCTTCAGATTCTCAACCTCCTCTTGGGCCTACTCGGACTTGCATGGGAATGGCCGTTGAAATATGTCGCCGGCTCCCTCGCGCACCGCAGCATCGAATTCCGATTGATCTTCTATCCCCTCAGCGCTCTTCTATCCATGCTCCTCTACCAGGGAACGGACCCTGCTCTATACTATGTTATTGGAATCGGGGTGTATTTCTGGGCCTACAGTGAGGGCGAGGTACGTATACAGCGATCGAATTTCCCAAAATATAACTGATGGATAATAGGTCGTTTGCCCTGTGCCATGGACCCTCCCGAAACGAAGCGAATACAAGGTATAGCACAACTTGTACCAACACGAAACCTGACACTTGACGACCACGACATGATATGATTTTACGATACGATACCCAGCGATGCTAGTATATCGGTAATATTTGCTTTATGGAGTTTGGACAGATAAAAGGTCCTCTTTCAGTCAGTGATGACTGTCCAGCTATTGACCTGGATGTGGCAGTTATATAAGGACTCTGTTGCCTGGACGCCAGAGTATATGTATCTGTGTGTATTATAGTTCTTTTGGATCTCGAAACCAAGACAATTCATATTACAAGATCATGCCTTCCATACGATAGATATACTATCGCCCATAACTGGCAGAAGAACACTCTACAACATGCTAAACCCTCGTTTGAGGCAATTCACAGCTATACACCTCTAAATATAGACAAGCCTAGTACTATGCCTAGTCCGCCACCCACAGTACAATCTGATGCCTTATTGCCACTTTCCCAAGGCAAACTCACGTGATCCCGCGTCCAATACTACCCAAAGCGGTTAAGCGTCTGGAGCGCTCCAGACCGAGGAACAAGAGATGAGGCAAATCACCAGCAACCAAGGAAAAGCTTTTAGCAATCCCCTGAAATGATACCTATATAAACCGATCAACAGCACTAACCGGCGAATATTCTGCAGCATAGCTTCCACTAACACCGGCAGACCCAGCAACCAGCATGCCCCTCGTCGAAGACGGTCCTCGCGAGGACAACAACAGCCAAATACCCCCTACAACCCTCAATCCCAACAGTGAAGCATATAACGAAGACCACGACGACGATAACGACGTCCCCGTGAACAAAAAGACCAGCTTCAACGGCCGTCTCAACCAATACTTCCACACCGCGAAGCCTACGTCCTCAGCGCCACCGGCACTCTCATCCATAAAACAAACTGCTACCACTACGACAACACACCCAAACCGTACATCCTCTCCTCTAAAACGCAAACGAACCACACCACCAACATCAACAACATCAACACGAATAACCCGCTCCCGATCCCGCTCCTCCACCTCAACCCCAACCAGCACCACCTCCTCTCCCCGCCCACGCAAAACCCTCACACCATCGTCAGCATCCGACTCCCTCCTCACCGACACCATCCCCCCAAACCTAACCCTCCTCCTCGTAGGCGTAAACCCCGGGATCCTAACCGGCATAACCGGCTACGCCTACGCGCACCCCAGCAACCTCTTCTGGAAACTCCTCCACTGGTCGGGGATCACACCCATCCGACACCCGCCCTCAGATACATACAAACTTCCGGAGTTATATAACATCGGGAACACGAATATCGTGGAACGTCCGACGCGGGACGCGAGCATGCTGAGCAAGAAGGAGATGGATGCGGGGGTGCCGGTGTTGGAGGCGAAGGTGAGGGAGAAGAGGCCTGAGGCGGTGTGTCTTGTGGGAAAGAGTATTTGGGAGGCGGTTTGGAGGGTTAAGGTCGGACGGGGGATTCGGAAGGAGGAGTTTAGGTATGGGTGGCAGGATGAGGGGATGAATTTGGGGAGGGTGGAGGGATGGGATGGGGCGAGGGTTTTTGTGGCTACGACGACGAGTGGATTGGCGGCGGGGATGTCGGTTATGGAGAAGAGGGAGGTTTGGGATGAGTTGGGGAGGTGGGTTGTTGAGAGGAGGAAGGTTTGGGAGATGGAGAAAGGCCGTGGTAGTGATGGTGTGAAAGTAGAATAGAATAGATGTAGAGTCACGATTCTGGTTACAATCATAGAATATAGTATAGATATGACCATGATATATTTCATTCACTTCATTTCATTTATCAATTACCCTCTCTTTTCCTAGGAAGATAGCTAGGATAGACAAGTAGGTAGGTACATTTCATCCGCTAGTGAAAAAAAATAAATAATCATGTGCTCGATCAGTCGATCATCATGCTACTAACAATCCTTGGCCCCCCCTCTTGCAACATCACATCACGCCACACACCCATCAAGGGAGGGGGAGGAAGGAAACAGGCCAGCCAGCCAGCCAGCAAGGGCGTAAGTAATAACATGGGCGCACGAATCTATCGATAAGCAGGACCATTACGGAAGTTGGTATCACCTTGTTGTTCGCGAGCCTATACCACAAGAGAGATCAGTTAGCATCTATTCCTCTTCAAGTGTGCTGTTGAGGGTAGTATATCAACATACAATAGTAGATTGATACTCTCCACGCTCTAAAATCTGAGTTATAACGTCGTCTTCATTGGCAGTTCCGAATTCATTCTCGAGACTAGCCTTGCTAGCTCCGTCGAGGACGCCTTGGGCTCCGTGCCTAGAAGTAATTGCATGTTAGGTCTGCTCTAATGAAGACAAAGGGGCTTACTTACTTGTGAGTAACAAAGATCTTCCAGCCGTTAAGAACATCCGCCAGAGGGACGGAGCGGTCACTGCGCCATCTGTTCAAGGCGTCGTGGTCATCGACGAAGACGATGAAGTCGTCGGATGCACCCTTGTAGAACATCTTGGAGGTGGGGTCGTTGTGGCGAGGCATGTTGGTGGTGTGGTGTGTAGTGGTTTGTAGTGATTTGGAGACTAAGATGGAAGAACGGTCTAGTTTCTTTCTTTCAATGAAGCTGCTAGAGACGATGGGAAGATGAGGAGAGGAAGTTGAGATGAAGTGAGTTGAAGAGTGTCGTGTGAGGTGAGGGCAGATGACGTCACCACGATGCTACCGGAAACAAAGGCGGGCAAACAGTGGCAGGAAGAGCGATTGAAGTGAGAAAAGTCGTGCAAAGGGTTTGTTTATGGCTAGTATAGTGTTCGTGTGATAATTGAGTTGATTGGATTTGATCTATTTCCTCTCTCCCTCGAATATCGCAGGCCTTTAAATACATCAAGGCGGGTGTGCCGACGGGAGCACCGACGTCATCATCGACTGATGCTGCGGATGCTCTGCACTTGCTCTTGCGCTTCTGGTTCACCCGGTGGAGAAACATGGCTCCCTATGGAATTCAATTCCCTCATCGGCATCATCATCATCATCATTCCAGTCACGGACATTATTGGCATTCTGGCATTCTGGCTCGCTAATGCTACTAATTACGTCTCGCTCCGCTCCGGTCAATCTCTCCTCCCCCACTCTCCTCAGAATCGACACGAATCCCTAAGAACCCCATACATATTCCACACACTTGTACTCACGTACCTGGCCATCTGATGCAATACTGCAGGAAATCTCAACACAACTTGCATCATCACCTCCATCAAACCCCACTCCCAAGCCCCATGCGACCCTGTCTTTTCGTCCGTCGGGAGGACATCGAATTAAACATCCTCCGAATAGCAGATGTTCTCAAGGAACAACCGTCGGGTGTCTCCGTTCCCTTGTTGCTAGCACTGGTCGGAATGATCGCAGCCTTGGCTTTCGCATTCGGACCTCCTTTTCCTTTCCACGTTTTGGACCGTCGAATATCCTTACTATGTCGCGCCAAGATAGGTCCCTTGTCCGTGTCCGGAGTTGCTGGCTTGCCTCTCGATACACTTCGTAAACTCTTCTCCTGACTCTTTCCAAGCTTCCTATGGACTTTCTCGTCGGCACATGTCGCTCCCGTAACAGACTTAGCAGAATAGCCTGCGGTGCTGAGGCTCACACAGCTGGAGCGTCGGTACAACCCCGGCCGGCGGCTCAGATGTCTCATAAGAGACCCAGGACTATGGAAAATGTCCCCCTTGCCTAAAGTCATCCCAGGGTACGGCAGAACGTCCCGCGTGTAGAAAGCAGATATGGCACGTTCTAGGAGTATTCGATCCTGTCTTCTGGCAGTCAGTACAAGGGCTGGGCACAAGGCAGACATCTTCGGCCGCTCGATTTCCCCGTCCACAGATTCCGTCATCTGGAGTCTTTGTGGGCAATGCGTCTTTTTGATGATGATGTTCTGTGAATCAGGTAGAGTCCGCGATGTAGCCAATGCCTGCATAGACGGTCGGCGAGGAAGAAGAGGCAGAGCACCGTTGCTGCAACTCAATGGAGCCAGCTCCAGAGACAGAAATGAGTATTCTTTCAGCTTCGCTACCACTGACTTCGGCATGTCAGTTAATGCGGCTGCAGACCTGAGCATCTCGGTCTCCCATTTCTTTTCTTCGCGTGCCGAGGCAGCACTGAGCACCAGTTCGTAGTTCTTGCCCTGAGACTGGAAAATCAGTTTCCAGGAGAAAAGACAGCCATAGCAACGAAGACCTATCACAGAGTTTAGCATACAAAATGACCCTTATAGGCAGTTTCCTCACCTTCCCCGTTTCTGATCGAATCAATCTTCATGTCAGGAATATACACACATGCTAGTGGCTCAAGCCTTCGGTAGTCATTGCTCGGTTTGGCTATTACGAGATGATAGGTGAACAGAATGCAGACCATGTATCCTCCCGTGATATACTCAGGGGTTTGGTATGTGATGTGAAGGACCCCGCACAGGCTCAAAGGACCCAGTTGCTTGTAGATGTTATCGATCATGTTCTGTAGATTCAAACCACCTCAGTTTCTATATCCTGTAGGGAGATGTGGTATACTTACTGATGTTGATAGGTCCATGAAGCTCTGTAGCAAAAAGGTCTTCTTCACTAGTGCCTTGCTAATGGGGTTTTCGGTGATTTGATTTATTTCGCATACCACCGCGCGGACTTGTTCGAGGACTTGCCGGATGCCGTCATGGGCCGATGGGTCGTCCTGAATATGAGTCCATCGTAATAGTTCCTCAAGCAGCAAAGGATACTTGCACAGACGTTGAATTGGCTGTTTAACGTTAGCATCCAGAAGCAGAACCAAGGGTGTCTATCTCTACCTTGATCAGGAGGTCATTCAGAGACATCGCTTTATTTTCCTCTTGTGTCTGCCTTTCCAATGATGCAACCGACTTCGATAGAGCCTCAATTCCCTGGTCGAATATACGCCAATCCGGTACAGACTGGCGCAGAAGACTCACATCTACTGTGAGCAAGCCATAGTTCTTACAGAACACTTTGTAAGCGGTGAAAGATGCCGACTACCCATATCATGTCAGTAGCTGACAAATATATAAGCCTCCTCGGGAAAACTCACCAGGTTGCCGACTTCTAGCGCAACTTGCAAGGCCTCTTTTGTCTCCGCAGCCAACGCCCTGAGACGCGAATCCATAGAAGTCCTAAAGCTACGTGATCGCAGAGACTTGGCATGCAAAGCCCTCAAACCAAAGTCAATTGCACTCAGGCGCTTGTGAACACCCTGAGGCATCAAGGTATCGAACTCGGCTGCTGCAAGGTTCGATATGGGCGTCAGCTTTCGAATCTGGGAGAGGAAGTCCTCGTGCGTGTCACGGATCTGTTGAATATTGTGGTAAATCTCCGGTCTGACAGAAAATATGAAAAGGGCCTACAATCAGAGTAAACGTTAGCTATCCGTAAGCAGCAACACGTGCCTATACTTTAGTTTGAAGGTAATCATACATCAGCCAGTGCTTTCAAGCCGAAAATATAGTCACATTCGGTAGTGATCAGTTCCCGGAGAACACGACGCCTCTTAATCGCCCTGTGCTGAGCTTCCTCATCGATTGAAGGATTCAAGGCAGGTCTGATGCTGTCTAGCGATTCACGAGCATCAGATCGTATGCTTTGATTTGTTGTGCTCTGCGTGGTACCCCTCGATCGTACCACACTTTGGCTAGTAATGCTCAGAGTGGCCGTCTTAACGGTTCCAAGATTGGACGAACGGTGGGACAAGGATTCCCATTGCTTTTCCTGAAACTCATTTGAGGTTAACAAGTCCGGTAGGAGGTCCCGATCATCTGGCTTGACTTCCATCGGCCAACCCTCGACGTATCTTTCGGGTGGGGGACAGCCTCTTCGGGATCGGAAGCTATTCATCCAACGCTTGAAAGCAGCCACAGGATCTACTGGCATAGGATGCGTTGCAGTTATCTCCACCACATATTCGGGCTTCTCCAGGATCAGCAAGGGAGGCTCGCCCATATCCTTGGATTCTTCCATGGTGCAGACTGTGTGTAGAAGTGAACAAACTCCAAGTGAGGATGTGAGCTCAGAAGGAATCAGAATCACAGGAGAGAATGCGTGTCATGAGTAGAGGTGCTTGCTGGCAAGTGGAAGCAACGACTCGCACAGTTCTTCACATGGGGAAAGCATGGCATACTTGCTGTCGCCGGGGGAGCTCACGTGTTGGATCAAAACGTCCAGTACGAACAAACGCAAACCGTGTGAAATCCATCACAGTAGGTTAAACAAACTTACGGTAATGTTCTGAGTAAAGTTGCCTCTACATCATGCACCGCTCGGTTGAGAATCAAATTGCAATGTGTTTGGTCCTACCACACGGCAACGGCCTTCCATTGCTCCCAACGATGAAACGACGGGCATCGACATCATCTGTGCACGTTAGCCAGATTTTCCAACTAGAAAAGGTCAAGGCGGCGAGAGTGGTGAAGGTGAACGGTTCACAACTTGGTAGGTGTTGTTCATGCTACTTTTGAGGCTTCTAGATCTCAGTTTAGCGGCAGCATAGTAGGAGCAGATAGCAGTTTGATATAGCATTTTCAGCCAACTAGGCACTTTTTCATATGTACCTGACATTATTCCTGACTCCAATTTACAATGAATTCATATCAACTTCAATCTTCGCAGACAAATGGATGATGGTGTTGCGCAGTTCTCTTCACAGCGCGCGATGCCAAGAAGATGAAACTCCCCCAGATTTCCCACCGAAAGACCCACCGCCGTTTTCCGGGATCCGTCTGCGACAGCTCTCGCCGCCCGGTCCTTCCTTCATCTTCCATCCAACCAACGATGTTTTAAACCACCTCACACTCACTCTAGTATGGGAATACCCATGGGTTCAAACATTCATGCCCCAACAGTAGCCTCCGGCCCTACGTCCGGAGGCGCTCCTCCTCGCGACCTGTCCAAGCTCGGCATGGTCGATCTCATGCAAGAAAAGGAACGCATCGAAGAAGAACTCTCGGCTTTGAGTAGCGTCCTCGGCTCGGTGAGTTAAATCGAACTTGGACAAGCCTTGCCACTCTGTGAGATGTCGACTGACGATGCTTTCTGTTCTAGCATGGCGTTAATATGAACACATCTCTCACTACTTTCGATGGCTTCCCACGAGACGATATCGATGTTGCCCAAAGTGAGTCACTGCTCTACGCCCCCGCAGTGCCTTTGCTAAACACTAGTTAGTACGCACTACTCGAGCCCGGATTATTCGACTGCGGAACGATCATAAAGACGTGATGTCACATCTGGAGAAAGGAATCCACAACCACTTTGCGAATTTGCAGCGGGCGCAAACTGCCGTACAATCGGGCGGCGGTCTGAATGGTACATCGGGGTCACAACCTAGTGTGTCTGGCAATAATACATCCGGTGCTGGGACATCTGGGTTACCGTTCGCAAAGGTCAATAGTGTGGTGCCTGGAAGTCCCGCCGACCAGGCAGGTCTGAGGGTGGGAGATACCGTTCGGGAGTTCGGGAGTGCCAACTGGCTTAACCATGAACGTCTCTCCAAGGTGGCGGAGATAGTGCAGCAGAGTGAAGGGGTAAGTTGGAGATTATCTTCCAACCTTCTGGTTCCAGAATTCAAGGACATACACTTGCGGAATGCCCCAAACTAACATCTTCTAGCGCACCGTGGCGGTCAAAGTCGTGCGGAAAGATCCTAGTTCTTCCAGCAGTATTGACTTGTCCCTGCAGCTGGTCCCTCGCCGTGATTGGGGCGGTCGGGGCTTGTTGGGCTGTCATCTCGTGCCGTTGTAGTGGACTGGCATCGGGTTAGGCACGAGAATGACGGCTGTCTACTGTACTCTGGGATAGTCCCTGGAATACTAGGACTTACCCGGGTGCGATCTACTTTCGTTGATGAATTCTCCTTACTGCTTTCTTGCTATTGGACTCTGATGAGGAATGTGACATGTATTCATGATCGAACGTGACGTGTTTATTATTGCCGGGAAATACCTAGGGAAGCATTTAGGGTGGCGTTTCAGTTTAGGTTCAAGAGATGAAATTGCACCTGTTCATATGGACGTTAATGATCAATTCCGTACAGCGTAGAGGGTTCACTCGCAAAGAACCGTGTGGATCGACAGCGAGACATGCAACAAATGCAGTTTGCGCGATCCTGCGGGGCACGGTTGACTGCCTGAGGCCCAACAGCAGCACGTGACCACCAGGCTTGGGCGACCGACTCACGGCAAAAATTCCATCACCGGTAGAAATAACCTTCCCACTCTAACTCCTCCCTGTCCAACCCCCTCGTTCTATCGAACACCCCTCGATCGCTTTGTCCATCGAGTGTCGCATCCCACTGTCGACTTATAATATCCGTCGACTTTCATCGCAAATTCTGTTTTCTTCTTCTCATCTCCATCCCCCCCACATCACATCCAACCTTCATCATGGCTGAGCAGGTACCGACCTTCAAGCTTGTCCTCGTCGGTGACGGTGGTACTGGAAAGGCAAGTTGAATCAAAGATATTCTATCCCACATGGCTTACTGGGCGGAGGTGGCATGTCGCCTCTTCGACGCCTCTTAACGCTCGACTGCATTCCTGTCATGCGTGTTTACCCCTCTCTGTTGCCCGTCGTCCCTATCAACAGAAAAACTTCATCGCCCGCCCAACCTCACCCGCCACGAGACGTCATTACTGACTGGAGAAATTTCACTACAGACCACCTTCGTCAAGCGCCACTTGACTGGCGAGTTCGAGAAGAAGTACATCGCCACTCTCGGTGTCGAAGTGCACCCTCTCGCTTTCCACACCGTATGCCCCGCCGGAAACCCCGCTTTGTCCATTCCGCCGTCTTTGTGCCGGTCCGACTAACGCTTTTGCCAGAACCTGGGTAACATCCAGTTCGACGTCTGGGACACTGCTGGTCAGGAGAAGTTCGGTGGTCTTCGCGATGGTTACTACATCAACGGACAGTGCGGTATCATCATGTTCGATGTTACCTCCCGTATCACCTACAAGAACGTCCCCAACTGGCACCGTAAGTGCTTTTACCTTCAGGAGTCAAGCCACGCGCGTCTCGATATCAGACTGACACATCCATTCTAGGTGATCTCGTCCGTGTCTGCGAGGGTATCCCCATCGTGCTGTGCGGTAACAAGGTCGATGTCAAGGAGCGTAAGGTGAAGGCCAAGACCATCACCTTCCACCGCAAGAAGAACCTCCAGTACTACGACATCTCCGCCAAGTCCAACTACAACTTCGAGAAGCCCTTCCTCTGGCTCGCTCGCAAGTTGGTCGGCAACCCCCAGCTGGTGAGTTAGATCTGATCATTGGTCTGTGAGACTGAATACTAACAAGCATTTCTCAGGAATTCGTTGCTGCCCCCGCTCTTGCTCCCCCCGAGGTCACCGTCAACAAGGAGCTTCTGGCCCAGTACGAGCAGGAGATGGATGCTGCCGCCAACATGCCCCTGCCCGACGAGGAGGACGCCGATTTGTAAACGCGCGATCAATGAAGGCTGGGGCCAGAGCCTGGGCCACGAGCTCGGGCTCGTGGTTGCAGTTCTGTCCCAATAACTGGGTACGTTATGCAAGATTTCAAATCACGATACAATGATAGCGGAGGGAAGGAAATTAAGCCCGAGAACGGTCGGCATGATTATGCATTTGCAATATTTACCACTAGTAGTCTAGACTCTGATTATCTCTACAAAGTTCCTTTTTGAAACGGTGACACTGTTTATCCGTCCATCGGCTATACTGTTGGACGAAAAAAAGTTTACATACTCTCTCTATTCTCTTCGCTTTTTCTTGCTGTATTATACAGTGTGTAAACTCGAATCTCATGATATCCCAATTCCCCCCCTTACTTAGATAAACCACAACCAAACCAAACCAAAAACCGAATCAAACCCCCAACAAACTCAATCGCACCCTCACAGCCCCCCACCAAACTTAGCATACCAAAAATCTCACTACCCACAGATACAAATCACATTTCCCTGAGTGCTCCTCATCCCCATACAATACACCTCTATAGTCTATACTCCGTTGTATAATAATGAGAAAGGGTATATGCATAATCCGCCCGCCGATCAATAGAAAGAAAAAGAAAAGTGTGGACTTTCCTTCCACCCCCACCCACATCAATAACAGTGACGTCACTGGTGTGATTATTGATCAGGCTGAAATGAATGTGTGTGTGCGTGTGTGAGTGTTGGGTTGAGATTGACAATTGGACATCCTTGCTTATACTAGATACATTTAATAGATAGATATTATATAGATAGATAACTACTTCGTGCTGATTTGATTGTTGCTGTTATTGTCTGTGGTTGTGGGGTTTGAGTTAGTTCGATTTAATTGGTTTCGGTGGTGAATATAATATGTATTTTTACTACTAGATTATGGGGTAGAGAGCATAGTCATGTTCGAGTGAGCAATGTTTTCATTCTTATAGTAGCTAGATGATTAAGTAGGTAAGGTATTGAGGTGATATGTGGCTGTAGATGAACGATCTCGGAAGTCGGTTTCCGAGTCATTGTGAAAGAAACAAACATCCTTCTTTCTACAGTAAGCTAAACAAAAATTTCATTCTAGACATGATATGGCAATGCAGTGCAGGGGATGGCTGATGAATAGGAATACAAATTGTGGGGAGCAAATGAGAAGATGCAGTGGAGTAGTAAGTAAGGGTAAATGAAAAGGGGAAAGGGGTCTAGGGTATCTTGTTGTGCTGGGAATCCGCAAACGCCATGTAAATATTAGATGAATGTAAAAAAAAAAAAAAAATGATTAAGACCGGATGTTCTGGAGACAGATCGGTTAGTAAGATCGTAAAAATATGAGTAGGTGGCTGTCGACTTACAAACAAAAATGCGAGTTCGCGGGCTCCGAGTCTGGAGAGATTGCTCGAAGCCTTCTCGTCCAGAGCACCCTCCACAAGCTCCCGCTTCTTATCCTGCAATTCAAGGATACGGTCTTCGACAGTATCCTTCACGACAATGCGGTGGATTTGGACAGGGCGAACCTGTCCAATGCGATGGGCACGGTCGACTGCCTGCTCTTCGACATAGGGGTTCCAGAAGGGGTCGAAAATGATGACCTGGGATGCTGCGACGAGGTTCAGACCGGCGTTACCGGCTTTCAGCGATACCAACATAATTCTGCAGTCTTCGTTGTCGGTAAAGTCCATCACGGATGTGTTTCGATCGGCTGGTCGCATGCTCCCGTCGTAGCGTCGGTAGTCCCATCCTTGACGAGCGATAGGAATTTCCAGCAAGTCGAGCAGGGACGTGAACTGGCTGAAAATGATGGTTTTCTCGTTGCCGTCTCGGTGGTAGACCTCGCGCAATATCTCCATGGCCTTTTCGATCTTGGCACTTGACATCCAGGTCTTTTCGAGACGACGCAGGTACTTGAGCTTCGCCTTCTTATTCTTCTGAGCATCCTTCTTGAGTTCCGCAAGGGACTTCTTGTTCTTTGCTTTGCCCTTGCCCTTCGCTCGCTTGCTTCTCGTAGAAGGTCCTTCTTCCTCATCATCGTCCTTGACAATGAACCGAGATAGACCTCCAGCGTCGTCGCTATCATCATCGCTGTCATCATCGCTATCCTCGTCGTTGGTGCCTTCCGTATCTTTGGTAGAATCAACACCATCTGCTTCGTCGGACTCATCAGGGAAATGTACTTTCTTGAACGACCGATGATCGGTGATTTTCTTTGGATCCACCTTTGCGCGGCAATTGGGACACTTTACTTCGCCTCCGTCATCGCGCCCGTTCCGTAGGGCCATTTCAGGGTCCGCAATTCTGGAAAAGCACTCCGCGCAGGTTCCATGACCACAAGGGAAGAAAATGACAGGATTTTCAACAGCATCGATACAGATTGGGCATTCTAGCTCGGTGTTGTCCTTGAGTCGAGCAACGACTTCAGCGCCGAATGCTTTCGCATTGGCAATGAGATCCATGCCCTCTTCAGCGGCATTGACTTCGGTGGTGAAGTCCTTGATCAGATGGGGATGGCAGCACGCTTGTCGAAGTCGAAGTAGTAGAACCAAAATATTGGAATAGTTGCGTCCCACTCCTTGTTGGAGATATCGGTCCACCTCGCGTTGACTGCGTGACTCCAAAGTATTGTAGAACTCTTGCTCTTCCTCGCTGAAAACAGCGTGGACTCTTTCGGAGACCTTGGGCGGTAGTTGCAAGATCGGCTTGCCGTCAATTTCCGAGCTCTTAGTTCGCCGCAAAAGAATGGCTTTCAACAAGACCTGTAACTGGAGCATAGCCTTCTCGCGCATGGCGGGGCTAGATTTCAATGGCCGAGTGAAGTCCTAGAACACAGGGTCAATTTATTACTTCCGTTGAATATCTTTAATGGGGTCAGGGAATACTCACGCGATTGAATGTCTCAATATTGGAGTAGGGGCGGATACGCAGAAACTTGATCAGCGAGTGTAACTCTTCGACATTGTTCATCATAGGAGTTCCTGTCATGCACCAGCGGTAGGTAGTATTGAGCTGGCAGCACGCAAGGGCAGCTTTTGCATTCCGATTCTTAATGCACTGGGCTTCATCCGCAATGACGCGATGCCATTTACAACGCCGCCCCAGAAGAGGAAGAGTGTCCAGGGCTTGTCTCGCCAGGTTAACATCCCGTTCCTCTAGCTCCTCGTACTTCTGCTTCCGTTTCAATTCTGCGGCCAGTGTGCCGAAGGTGGTGAGAACCACATCGTACCGCTTCAGTTCTCTGAAAGTAAGCCGTTTATCGCCATGCAATACCCAGATGGAAAGTTGATGTTTTCCGGGCTTAACCATGCGTTCGATCTCTCGTTTCCATTGTTGCACTAACGCAACGGGGGCAATGATCAGGGTGGGTTTGCGCTCGGGGTCAGTCGACGGGCGGGACACTATGAGAGCGATAGCTTGTATGGTCTTTCCCAGACCCATATCATCGGCAAGGATACCGCCCTTGTTGTCGCCCTCTTCCATCGACTTCATCCAAGACAACCCCAACTTCTGGTGCTCCAGCAGCGTGTACTTGAGAGCTTCAGGGGTTCCTTCGCGGTTCTGTAGGGCAATCTCGGAGTCAGGTCTGATGCTTTCCAGCAGCTTTTGAATATCTTCTTTCGTCTTGTTTGGGTCGGGGCCATAAATTTCAGAGCCATAGTAGTCACTAGGAAGGTCAGCTACTTCAAGGATCGGCGCGTTATGAGGGGGGTCAAGTTACTCACTCTAGATAGTCTCTGGCCTTGCGAAATCCACCTGGTCCCTGGTAATCTTCTAGATCAATATAGGGAGGGTCTGAAGGCCTGGAATCGTTGCCGCCGAGTATCATCCTTCCGGCTTGCACCAGCATCTCCCTGCCTGCATTGAGCCTTGCCATTGTGTTTGACATTACATGGGGACCAAACACAGATCCAGATCCCATTCCATCACGCGGCGCGGGAGACACCTGGAGTGACCGACTCTGCGCAGGCTGGAGGCCGTTAGGCATCGTAGGGGCAAAAGGACCCCAGCGCGGAGGACGCGCATGTGGAGCGGCTGTAATTTGGCAATGACGTTGAAAGTCGGACGGCGTGATCTCGGCGAGATCGCTATCATCGCTACTAAGCAAGGACTGGGGATCTCGGGCTTCACTGAAGGGGGAACGGTTGTTGTCACGACTGTGAGAGGGCAGAGATTCAAGTGGGTTATGTTGCGCCCAAGATTCGGGGAAACGGCCAGTGTGGGCCATGGAAGGTCTGTTCGACGAAGAAGAAGGAGCGGGAGCGGAGACTGAAGGTCTTGGAGGGAACATGCTGTGCGAAGACGACGGCGACTGAGACGGCTCACGGAAGGAGTCATTAAGTCGGCGAGCAAACTCGGCGTCACGGCGCTCCTGTTCTCGGCGTTCCTCGAGCCATTGCTCGGCCCGTCTTTGCTCCTCTTGAATCTCGCGCATGATATCAGCGCTGTCAATGCCCAAGATCTGGCGTAGCTGTTCATTGCCAGCGAGTGGGTCGTCTAGATCATCGTCGGGAGCATCATTGCTAGGCTCGGCCTCGGGACTAACGCGACGCATCCGCTTTGGCCGTCTGGAAACTGGGGCCTCTAAGTCGTCTGTGAAATCCGAGGAGTCGGAGTCATCTTCATTGTTCTCAGAGTGGCTATCCTCACTGCTGAGGTGTAGCCGCTTTCGCAAAGTTGACGGTCCAGGAGCGACATCATCAAAGCGCAGCACGGACCGATCATCAGACGAAGAAGACGAGTCGACCGAAGGTGCACGACCAGCACTTTCCGGAGCATCAGAAAAGGCACCATCTAGCTGGGCAGAAGACAAGCCTGAGCGGGCTGGACCCGGTGGCGGAGAGGCAGCGGATGGGCCCCCAGCGGGACGGCCTTGGAGCACCGCTAGTCGGGCTTCCAGGCGTTTGATGACATCTAGAATCTCTTGTCGGTCTTCAGCGGCATCGGGTCGTTCCTCGTCCAAGCTTTGCAAAATAACCTGGTTGAGCTCGATATCCTCTAGGATATCTTGAATTGACGCGTCGGACGCGGACGCCATTATTGCCGAAGTTACTGAGCAAGGCTAGACTGAACTGGCAAGGCGCAAGCCGACCCCACAACACTCTGATAATAGGCGGGTTGATCTCACCAACGAATGAAGAGAGATCTCCCGTCTGTTCTCAATATATATTGGAGAAACAGATACACTTTCGAGAAGATCAAAAAGGGGGCGAAGGCAAGTAAGTCAAAGAAGAGTGAAGTAGATTGGGGGGGCGGCGGTATTCGGGGGGAAGATCTGATTGATGGAGTTGCGGGAGTCGCGATCGCTTGGCGGTACCTGGCAGCTGAGTTTAAAAAATAGAAAAAAAAATTAAAAAGAGAACACAACACTCTTTTCTATCTTTTAGTCTTTGTTTCCCACAGCTTAAGTGAATATTCGAATAATTCTCTTAGGCATCATCCCCAGGGACTGCGACCGTGGTCAAGGAATACAACCCCATATAAGTACCTCTGTGAATTGAAAGTCCAAGGCTCTGAAAGTTTGCCCCGGCTTGAACTGGGTGGCAATCTCCATTCCCCTACCGCTTCAGGAAAGCCTTGAAAATTTGCTTTTTACCGGATGTCCGTTTTCTGGCATGTCATATTGATGCCTATCTGCTTATTAACTAGGTGAATATAAAATTCTACAATTTCTGCTGATTACACTGCTAAAGGACAACGCTCTTTTACTGCATCGTCTGCTATTGGTCACTTATTTTAACAAAAATCAGTGTGACCAATTACTCTGCTTATTTGCTGTGCATTAATCCGGCAGCTATAGTTCGTAACTGTAGTAGAAGCAGTAACACCACCGGCTGTGGCGCTCATTAGCCACACTATACATATGCTCCCCTTTATGTAACCGTCTTTATCCGGCATTTGTCACATTATACATGGTATTCATTGTCTTCAGCGATAGGGAAATTGTAACTTTGCCTTTGATGCAGCTATCAATGATGGCATGTTAAGGTAATGTGAGACCGCAGATAGAAGCCACAACAGTGCCATGTCGCCTTATTCCGAGGAATAATGCGTCATTACATGATGCATATGTCTATATCATGTCAATCTATGCTGTCTCAGAAGAAATCAAATCAGCCCTCATATTGAAGGATACGACTAGAGGCAATCTCTTCAGTGATTATGCTGCTAGAAGGTAGGCAGAAGACTCAAAACTTCACATATATTGTTATGTCTATATGGAAGTGTATGTCAGATTGATCTAGACATATCTAATCCGACCGGAAAGGGTCGAACAAAGTCGACTGAATGAACCACCAGACCAAACCAAGAAGCAAGAAGATAATCACTATCATTTCAAGGGCCATGGTTATGCGTGGTGCTGTAGGCAGCGATAAGCAATCGGGTCAATTCACGAGGTAGAGTCAAGATGAGATGGATGAGACTGGAAAGAGATGTCTCAGCGAGCAGAACCGTGGATTTATAGGTTCTGAGACAGCATAGTCAAGGCGACGTGGAATCTACCTTGATCATCTTACTCATAGTCAAGGCGACGTGGAATCTACCTTGATCATCTTACTTCATGAGGTGGGAAGTTAAGGGGAAAGGTGGTAAGCGATGCTCGAAACTTCCCATCTTGTAGTTCTGCCTATCTTTGGGGAAGTTCCTTATGGAGCTGAAGGGCAGGAGTAATGATCTCTACGTCTCGCTGTTATCCGTCCATCGAACTTTTCCTGCAGGCTTACACCATAAGTTTGAGACAACTCTCATATGTGACTACTCCTGCCTCGAGACGAAGTAGAAGTAATGACCAATTATGAAAGCAAATTGGAATGGATTGCAGTCAAAAGGGCTGTCGACAAGGTTTTGGCAGTGTTTACTTCTGACTGCCTATGGGATAGTCCAAGACATAGGCAGGGACTTATTCGCTGGTATGTAAAAGACATAGTTAGATCTCAAGATAGTGTTGGCAGGGGTAAGAATCTGCCACGTAGACAGCAGAGATAACAAAGGATCAGATCAGATAGCGCCTGACTACAGTAAATCTCTCGACAGGGTATCATCCATCAAAATAGTCTTGCACGAAAGTAGTTACTATCATAGGAACATCGTCTGAGCCTTGAGACGAGACAAGCTGGACAACCCCGATACAGTCGAAAGTACGAGATGAACAAGAAGCGCCTTCGGACATAGTCGGTCGTCCCAAGGCAGTGCGCCGCAGCGATCTTATACGCATGCTATTTGCAGCCCATGTCAGAATAAAGCCGGTATCCTTGTCAAGCTGGACAGCCCAGATAACAGCAGGAAGTTATACACAGATATTATGCGCGAATCAGAACCATCAACAACACGACGAAAGGCGACATCTCTGAATCATCCTAGTAATAGACTCGCGAGTCCTAGGTTTCAATCACGCCCGCTTGCTGCTAGGTTGCATTTCGAAATCAGACTAACAGGAATCCAGTCTGGGGTAGTCTAGTAGTTCTCGAAGAATATGCAAAGTAAAAGGACTAGATGCTAGCAGTTTCTGCTCTCCGGCCGAGTGGCCGTGTGCTACAGCCATACTTACCCACCCATACCCTCCAGGCCCGATCTAATCCACACTGGGCAAGGGGCTCACAGGGCCAATTATCTCGGTTGCTCCCAGTTATGATCGTGACCACCACATGGTGCAGTGGATCCAGTCGTAGAGAAGAAAGGGTAGTCACATATGGATGTGGGATGCCTTAAACCTTGCTACAATGGGTCGGTCATCTCCTTTGCGGGGACATTCCAGATATGTGACGTATGAAGGTTTTCTCTCTCATGGCAGGTGGATCTATACTGGCAATGCACAATTGGTCTCTGATTTCGCAATCCGAAGACTTCAGATTGGCTGGAGGTCTGGTGCAGTGACCCGGCAATTCATTATCCACAACTTTGGGGTTGGCCTCTTGATTGTCAAGATGTGGCATTCAGCATGCAGGCTGAAGCACTTCGACTTTGACAGGAGTATATAGCTCCCCGTAAACCTGACTGTTATAGTTTACCTAATTCATGGTAGCTCGAAAAGTTCAGCCAGTCCAGTATCTCATTGGTCGGTATCTGTTATCCAGGCGTTGCTATATTGTGAGCAACCTAGGGTCGATGGACCGGGGCCCTCCGGTGCCAAGGTTGGTTGGCCCTTTTGTAACTGAATATACCTGCTCTCTCCAGAGCTCCCATACATTGATCGATAGGATAAATCCTGGAAGCAGCCGATGATGGTGTCAAAAACCATAGAGTTGTCTTATGTTTGTGAGTACATAAAGGGTGTGCCTGTACGTAGCGATCACTCTATAGTATCGACCAATCCAATCCGGTAAATGGGCGTTTCCATCTTAGTCTGAAGGATCGATTACACATCCCAAACGAGGAGACATGTTTCTCGGAATCAGCACCGCCTCATGGCTCGTGATAGGCATCATAGGCGTCGGCTTGTGTCTTGTCGTGAAACTCTTTGAGACTTCGCCGGTTCCTAATGACATTCCTCGGGCTTTGAACAGGAAGAGTCTCCTAGGGCGTGCTGTGGAGCGTTTCGTTGGCGTCAATCCCATAAGCTTCATTCGCGAGGGTTATCAGAAGGTTGGTGGCACGCCTCTGAAGCATGTCTTTCTTGCTGATATCATTGTTATCTAGTACTCCAAACATCAGAAACCATTCGTGCTGCCCAGCGTAGCTGAGGGCGATGAAGTTCTTCTTCCAAAAGACCTGGCCAAGCACGTCCTGTTTTCGAAAGAAAATGAATACAGCTTCAAAGCGTATATTACTGACTTTTTTCAACTGAAGTACACCAGCTGGCCGCTGGCCTTTGCCAATAAATATGACTTCTATGTCAAGCTCATCAGTAAAGATCTGACGGAAACCCTCAAGACGGACACAGTTGCAAGGTCGCTGGCTGAGGAAGCCCGAGCATGTCTGGCAGACCTCTGGGGCGAAGATTCAGACAGATGGGTCGAGATCAACTTGTACTGTGCAATGGAGAAGATGGCGTCGCGGATGATCAATGTGCTTGCGATTGGACCAGGACATAGCGATGACGAGACTCTTTTGAATGCCATGGCACATTGCTCGGACGCCATCGTCTTTGGGGCCAGTATCATAAAGGCATTTCCGTCTTTCCTTCACCCGTACGTATATCCAAACTAATCGTATTCGGCGGGGTTCTAATCTTCTCTCAGAGTCATCGGGCCCATTGTAGGAATGGTCAATAGATACTTCGAGGTAGTTTTTCACAAGCGCATGAAGCCTATTATTGAGTCCAAGATCAAAGAGCAGCAAAAGCAGACGGATCCCGAAGCCCAAGAGGAAACACTAAAGTCTATGGTGAGTACCCTGCCCACAATTATCGAATTAGTGCTGACTTCCCTCAGGATAGCTTGCTGGACCTGCTCATTCGGGCCGGACTTCGCAGCAAATGGCCGATGGAAGCCACGTCCATGTGGCTATCATATAGGATCTTCATGATCAATTTCCCGGGCGTACACACGACTGCAGTGTCTGCTACAAGTGTTCTTCTTGATATTCTGAGTGATCCGGTTGATGAGAATCTTGTCAACGATCTCCGAGCAGAAGTTGAGAGCATTGCTGGTAGTTCAAGTGGGGACTGGACGGCAGAGGACCTGGGAAGGGCTGCACTGCTGGACAGTGCTGTGAAAGAGAGCCTCCGGCTAAACGGCATTAACGCTGCCAGCCCGACGAGAAAGGTATGCATGAAATTCTGACTTTCCCCTTTCTCACTTCATGGTCTCACTTACAATGCAGGTTGTCGCCCCCAATGGTGTCACTCTTGCGAACGGTCTTTTCCTGCCTTGCGGGACAAAGGTTGGGATCCCCCAGTATGCCCTCCACCGGGATGAGGAATTCTATCCGGAGGCGGATAGATATAATCCCTACCGATTTTACACCGAGAATGCATCTGAAAGCGAGAGACGTCAGAGTTCGATGACCACGCCTAGCGATGAGTATGTGGTCTTCGGTCACGGTCGTCGGCAGTGCCCTGGACGCTTTATCTTCGCCCACATTTTCAAGGTGTTCATC